CTTGAGTTCAAATCCAGCCTCAGGCACTAGCTGTGTGACCATGTGCAAGTCTCTTGACTTCTGTTTGCCTCAGTTTCCTCAACTTTAAAAATGAGGATAATAATAGTACCCACCTCCCAAGGTTCTTGTGAAGATTAAATGAGATAATAATTGTAAACAACACTTAGCACAGTGCCTGATGCATAGTAGACACTATGGAAAAGCTTCTTCCTTTCCCTCTTCCTTATATAAGCTTTACAAGAATTCACTCTCCTGTCAGTAGATTTTGTAATTGAGAACGTATTAGATTTATTCATTTTGTTTTCCAAGGAAATAACTAATCATAGAATTATAGAGATAGAAGGGAACCTCCACATTACTCTAACTCTAGGTAGAAGGAAGGGTTATTTTGTGGAATTCGGGATAGAGTGTAAATTCTTTTTTCAGATCTTGCCAGAATTCTACCCATCTCTGAAATAAGAAGAATGATGTTTTGCATTTGAATAATACTTTTTTCAAAATGTCTTCTTATTAGATTAATAGGAAAAAAATTCTACAACTTTCCCTGATACCTTATTTCAGTTTTTTACAATCTTGTAGTAACGGAATTATTTCTACTGGGTTTTTTTAATACCTGCTATGATTTTAGTCTATATTTTCTTGTTCTTTCTTCAGTAGAGGCAACCAGGTGGCATAACAGAGAATGTTGGTCTTGGAGTCAGGAAGACCTGAGTTCAAACACACCACCGCAGCCCACACTTGCTGTGTGGCCTTGGGCAAATTCCTTATCTGTAAAATAGGGATAATAGTAGCACCTGCCTCCCAGGGATGTTGGGAGGATTGATTGAGACAACACATACAAAAAAAGCTTCTATAAAGTGCTGAGTGCCATCATCATTATCATCAGTGTTATTATTATAAATGGTTAACTAACAACTCACTACCCTTTGTATATCCTGGCATATTTTAACTATGAGCTAAAGCAAGACTTCTCAGGTTAAGTCCCTTAGCTTTTCATCTGAGACCTCCTTTGTCAGCCTGTAAATCATTTCCATTGCTCTTAGATTGTGTAGCCATAACTGTATGTAGCATTCTAGGAAAAGCCTTGCCAGTGCTGTAAAACAAGAGGAGAGGCTGTGCTTTCTCATCTTCCATTTAATTAATTTCTGGTTACAGTTGGGAATGTCTCTCCGGAATTTGCCTAAGTGTTCCCATTTCGTGTCTTGAAATAAGAGTGATATGGTTTTCTTGATTTGTTTTGGGCTCAGTTCCTGAGGTTTGATGCTAATTGTTTAATGAATTAGTGATGAAATTAAAAATAGAACGCATGTTATTGAAGGGACATGGGGCATAGCCATAATTTTGAAAGAGCCTGGTTGGTGATAAGGATTGTGTGTGGCAGAGGAAGAAAGCAAAAAAAGATTAGGAATTTCAGGTTTTAGGCTCTCAGCTACAATAGCCACAAACATTTATTAAGCATTTACTGTTGACTTCACCCAGGGGAAGATGTAGAACATTTTGGGCCCTTCACAGTCATCTTGTTCCTTTTTTTTTAACCTCTATTGATTGCTTCCATCTCTAAGATGAATTTGAATGATAGATGAAATATTGGGGGTAGGACTAGAGAATTGCATTCTTTGAGATTCCTGAAAGAAAAATCTAAATTACTACCATTATTATTTAAATAATAACAAAAAGAATTATCATTTACATAGCTCTTAAAGATTTGCAAAGCATTTTACATGTATTATCTCATTTTATTCTCAAAACAACCCTGAGAGGTATGTGCTATTATGCCCATTTTACAGGTGAGGAAGCTGAAGCAAATAGAGGCTAAATAACTTACTTACATGTCTGGTCAACATCAAAACTGAAATCGAAACCCAGCTGCCCTTGGACTCCCAATGTAGTACCGTATTGGAGTTAGATGACCCGAGTCGCAATCCTGTGTTCTTCTGCTTACAAGATATGTAACTGAATCAGTTGACTTTTCTGAGTCTCAGTTTTTTCATCTACAAAATGGGGAAAACTATGCCTTTGCTACTTAACTATAGAGTAAACAGTATGTAGAATTCATACAGTATGTAAAATTCATGTAATACCCCAGGTACCTGGGATAAGTTCAGTTGGTGAGATTAAGACAGATATCAGACAGATCATGCGTGTTGAAGAGGTTGAGTGAATGTGAGAGCAAGTTATTTAATAAAAAGGGGAAGGGGTTAGAGTGGTGAGTGTTCTGAAGACCTCGTGAAATGCCACATATTAAGCATTCTGTAAGCATGTTGTTTAGATCTTAATACCATAATAGTATGGCACAAATGTCACCGTTTTCCAAAAAGGGAAGAGAATGGCGTCTGCAAACTATTGGGCAGTAAGCTTTGTTCAGGTTCCTAACAAAATTCTAGACTGCATCAATTAATGAAGAGATAGTAAACATCTAGAAAAGAACATATACATTACACAGGGGGCCTACATCAAGAATAGGACGTGTCAGACTAATTTAATTTCCTGTTTTTTCCTCACAAAGCTTTACTAGACTGTTAGGTCAGGAGAATGCTGTTGAATAATATTTACCTGTGTTTTAGCAAAACTTGATAAAGTCCCTAGGTGATGGTATAGTTTGGTGAATTTGGAACTGGTGTAATGGACCTAAAGAGTGGCCCTTTAAGGGTTCAGGGTCAGCTTGGGAGGTGATTTCTACTGGTGTACACCGGGGACCTGTGTTTGTTCCCATGATCATAAGAGTCAGGATGGTATACAAGTAAAGCAGCATGGGGCATGAGACTTGAAGTCAGGAAGACCTGGGTTCAAATCCAGCCTCAGATACTTAATAGCTTTATCACCATGGACAAGTCACCCTCTCCATGCCTCAATTTCACCATCTTCCAAAGTTGTTTCTAGTTCTCTTATCAGTGTGTTAGGTACAGACACAGATAACATACTTAGCATACTTGCAGATAACACAAAGCTGGGAGGGATAGCTAACACAGTGGATGACAGATTCAGGATCTACCAAAATCTTCAGACTAAACTCTTAAGGCAGATTTAATCATATAAGTTTTTCAGGGATAAATACCAAGTCTTAAACTTATTGAAAAAATTCCACTGCCAAGAGTTAGCAAATAATAGGTACCTCAGTCCTGTAGTACAAATGGTGCTGCTTTGGCCACATTTATAACACACACTTTGTTTAGCTGAACGTACATCCATACATATCATACGTGTGTTACCATTGATTTTTCATACTTTTTTAACAAAAATATGACTATCAAAATAGCTAACAATATATAGGAAGCAATAAACAGTAGATAATGTTAGAAGGCAAATGTAAAAAAAAATAACCAGATACAATTCAGTACCTTTTATCAATTGTTGTAATTTATATAACTCTAATCTTATACATATACTTTAATTTGAATTTTCATTTCAAAATCCCCCTAAAATCTTAGCTTAGAGTCTGAAGCTTTCCTTAGGCTATGTGAACACCTCCAGGCCTTTAAGCCAACTTGGCATCAAATCTCCAAACTGTTTTCCTCAACTGCAGTAACTTTGGTTTCTCTGACAAAAAATATTTTCTATGACTTCTTTGTGCTAATCGTAAGAAATCCTTTTGGTTGTCTTTTCTAACATTCATCTTTCTTGGCTTCTTTCCCTTTAGCTCCACGTGTCAAATTTTAAAAGATACAAATATAGACACAGATATGTACTCCTATGCACATACATATACCATTTATACAAGTATGTACATGACATATTTCCTCAACTTCCTTTGTCTAGGTTCCTTCCAAATGGAAGGAAGTAATTTGGGGAGTTTTCTCTTTAAGAAGATTAAAACAACTACCATCCCACAAGCTTTCCAGCTGAATACTACTAATGACATATAATTTTAAATGTATATATTTAAATGTAGTGCTTCTATTAGCATTACCTTACTTGAGACAGTAGCTTGGTATAAATGGTGGAGGGGAGAGGGGGCATTAGAATCTTTTTATCAGAGCCTGCATCTTTTATGTAGAATATAACATTTTAAACAACAAACATAAAAACAGAGTTTTTAAGATTTTTGAAATGGTTTTGTGACAGTTACGTTTAGAGAGACACCTCTCCTACTGGATAAAGCTGAGACTGAAGGAGAATAGTACTGAGTCTCTCTCCTGAGCTCAGTTCCTTAAAGGCTTACTTTTTCACTTCCATAAACCAGTAAAATGTGGAGCCATTGTGTAGGATCAGAGAGTCATTAGAGCTAGGAGGGACCTCCAGCCCTTTGCTTTATAGATGTGAAACCGAGGCCCAAGAAGATTAAATAGCTTGCCCAGAGTGAACTGTGCAATTAATTCCAAGTAAAAATGTATTCGCCACTTTTGTTAACTTATCTGCCAATTCTCTTCATGAAACATGCTAAAATATCCAGTGTTACACAAAAAGCCAACATGAGTCAGTGTTGTCCCCCCCACTTTTTGTATGATGAGGGGTCATAAGTCTAGAGCTGGGATGGACCTGAGAGGCCGTGGAGCCCAGTCCCCTCATTTGATAAGCAAGGAGACTCCAGTCCAGAGAGTTTTTCATTTGGCTGAGGTCCCCCAGGTGGTAAATGGCAAAGCCACGACCCAAGTCTTCAACTCTTCTATAACCCTCCATGTCTTATATGTGATACCTTTAATTTTCTAACATGAGCAGGTGGAAGAAACTCTTGTCTAGGGTGTGTGTCACTTCACATAAACTGCACTTGAATTTTGCCTGCATCTAAGTTGTGTTTTTATAAAACTATCCTTTATAAGCCAGTGTGTCGCATGTTATTTCCCTGACTTTTTCAGCCAAATACCAAAAATCTTCCAAGTGACTTTTTTAACTAAAAAATGTGGTTTTAGTAACTCAACTAGTCTGATGTAGTCTCCCTTGTGTCTGCTTTTCTATGCTTATGTCTGGGGGTGAGTGATTGTAGTACCTTGAAATACATGTTATATAACTTTATTCCCCCATTATACAGTGGACTTCATTCACGGTTTTCTTTATGTATGTAGACGATCTGCCGTTGCCCGAATTCAAGAACTCTTCAGGCGGAGAAAAGAGAGGAAAGAGATGGAAGAGTTGGACACTCTGAACATTAGGAGGCCCCTAGTAAAGATGGTTTATAAGGGTCATCGCAACTCCAGGACAATGGTACCAAGTGCTCACTGGATTCTTGGAGAGATGTGCAGTTTCATGTTTTGGATTAAAACAGTTTGTTACCCTGTGCATGTTTAAACTATAAAAATTGTCCTGGCTGGGGCTCAGGAGGGGTTGCACAAAAGGGAAGCAGCAAAGTCCAGGGGAAGGGAACTTTGCTGCTGAACTTGGAGTAATCGTGGCTGTACCTGTAAAGCCCCGAGTAAATCACTTCATCCCTCTGGGTTTGGCTTCCTCATATTTAAAAATGAGGTCGGACCAGACAGCCTCTAGGGTCCCTTCTACCTCTGCATCTCTGTAATTCTCTGTATGTGTTCTATAGGCATGAAATATTTCATAAAGTAATAATAGTTATATTTGTATAACACTAACATTCACAGCATGCTTTACTCACAACAGCCTTAGGGTGTAGGTAATGAAAGTATTAGGGTCCTTTACCAATAAGGAAACTAAACTTCAGGAAGGTGATTAAATGACTTGCTCAAAGTTGTACAACTAATGAGTGTCATCCAAAATCTGAACCCAGATCTCTCAACTCTTAAGACTTTTCTTTTTCCAGTACACCATGCTGACTCTCAAAAAATATATGTATTTTTTTTTGACGTAAGGAATTGTTTATGTAGTTTTAAATTTTAGCCTTTGTAAATTGTAAGTATCCTTTGAATTCTGAACGACAGTGCAGAAGTTTGATCATAGTTGCTTTCTTTGAGATGATTTAAAAAAGAGAGAATCTCAATAACTTTTCCAGTATTTTATGTTGCTTTATAAATAGAAGAATTTTTTTTAAATTTTTAAATTTCACTTCCTTTCTATTATGCTTGTTGTTGTTTGGTCATTCAGTTGTATGTCAGACTTTTCATGACCTTATAGACTATATCATGCCCGTAATGTTGATGTCTGTTTGTTTGTTTGTTTGTTTGTTTTTGGCAAAGATACTGGAGTAATTTGCCATTTCCTTCTCCAGTGGATTAAGGCAAATACAGGTTAAGTGATTTGCCCAGGGTCACAGAGCTACTTAGTGTCTGAGAGCAGATTTGAACTCAGGTTTTCCTGACTCTGGGCTCAGCCTCAGTCCACTTAGCCATCTAGATACTCAGCTGCTAATCGTATGTTTGGTGCTTTTCCTCTGTTCTTGTACCATAAAGCAAAACTGTAAAAGATGCCAGTCCATGCTTCAGTATTTGAATAGCTCAGAAAACGATACCATCTAGATAAGGCAGATAAAAATGGAACTGTTGTTCTAAACCATCTTAGCATTAATTACTTGTCAGTCCTTTTCCCCCACAAATGGTCTCTGGTACTGTGTCAGCTAAAATGAGTTGATTGGAAATCTAGCAAAGATCTGTATAAATTGTTCCCATACTGCTGAAAGCCCAGAAGCCTATGCATCTGTCTCCCTGCTTCATCATCAGACTGCTTGCTGCTGATAACTTCCCTGTTTTGAATATAAGACACAGGGCTAAATCTCAAACAGTTTTTTAATGTATTTTTTTTTCCAAATCAACATTTTATTTTTCATTTGGGAATTAGCTTGAATGTTGGTTTCCTTGTCCTTAATATTATTGTTCTTGCCTTCATGTAATTGACCTTTTTTTTTTTAACCCGATAGATAAAAGAAGCCAACTTCTGGGGCACTAATTTTGTAATGAGTGGCTCCGATTGTGGCCACATCTTCATTTGGGATCGCCATACTGCTGAGCACTTGATGCTTTTGGAAGCTGATAATCATGTTGTGAACTGCCTACAGCCACATCCATTCGATCCAAGTAAGATAGTTCTCTGCTAGAAAAACTATTAATTAATGAGCTTGAAATTTTTCATAAGATACATGTTTCAGACTTTCCCTAAGTGAAAATAATAATAATATAATTATAATAATAATAACATATATTAAACTCACTAGATTAGAAGTGATTCCAGTTTACTTTACACAACAAATATCCATAGCAAAAAATACAGAGAAACTGGCAGAAGAACTTAATTTATAAAATTTATTCCTAGTTTTAACGCCTCTAAGAGGTTTCAAATGGTTGAGCTTTTAAATACTCACCCAAATTGAGCCTTTAAGACTTACTTCTGCCTTCATAAATCTTCATGCATCTTAATGAGAAGGCAGTTAACCATCTTTTGACTTTCATGTAAAATAGTTTCTCTTTTTAGGAATAAGCTATGGATAGGGGAAGAAGGAAAAAGTTGGATGGAGATTGAAGGGAGATGAAATAAATGCTTGATGATTTAAAAAAAAAAAAGATGATTTAAATGTGACCTTGAAATTATATTCTCAATAATTTCAAAACTCTAAACATCAGAAAATAGTCGTGTCAGTAAAATGTATTAACATAATTTTCAGATATGTAATTAAAGCTCACAAGGCATATTTTCAAGTTTTACACTAATACGTAAATTTATTTGTAGTTTTAGCTTCATCTGGCATAGATTATGACATAAAGATTTGGTCACCCCTTGAAGAGTCCAAGATTTTCAACCGAAAACTTGCTGATGAAGTAAGACCATTAGTTTTTCTTTTCTCTTGAAAAGGCTGAATAGCACATTTATTAACTAGTAAAATGAAGCAAATTAATTGTATTAGTGGAAGTAGACATTTTTTGAGATGAAAAAAGAATTCAGGTAAAACTATAATAATAAAGACCAATAAAATCAAAACAGACCTCTTTACTAAATGTAATGTTGCTATATGTTGCATTTAGGCATTTACTGAAATAAAGAGTCATAAAAAAATCATGTAATCTTTTAAGCATGAGGCCTTTGGAAATAAGCTGTTATTTGTAATTATTTACATTTAATTTTTCCAGTATGTTTTTTATTCTGTTTTTGTTTTAAAATAGAGGAACCATAGTAGGGGACAAAAGAGTTTGAAGAATCTTCTCTGTCATGAAATAATCTCTTCTTGATGAAGTTTTCTTGTACTAAACTCTAGAACAGTTAGACAGCCTGATGTGCTCTACCAGTCACCTCTCTCCTTCCTCCTCTTTCTGTCATCCTCTTCTTTCTCTCCTTTGCTTTTTTCTGTCCTCTTCCTTTTTTTCATTTTCTCCATGTTTATTATGAATTAGGTTTTACTTAACTATTGGCACAATCTTGAGTCCCACTTGTGGTACCCAAGGCTTAAGAGTTCATGGCCTCTCTTGTAGAGGCTGGTTGATCAAAAGCATATAGCCTAATCACATTAGCAATGGAGTGAAAAGGATCACTGAGATCTGTGCCTCTTTAGCCGGAATACATGTAGCAGGGCATTTCATAGTTGCAGAGAGGGAAGAAAACATTCACCTCAAGACAGTTTTAGGAAATGACTACTATAATTTAACACTAGAGTATGCATAAAATTGTCAACTATGTCTTGGGACCCAGGAGCACTTAGGACACATCATGTTGTCCCCTGTGAGGAATAAACTACAAAAAGTGAGTGTCTAAATTTTGCCTTCAGATGGGTACAAACAGTTCCTAGCATCAAGTTATGCTTTTGGTTTTCTGTGGTCTTTAAAGGAGTATTTGTATCTGATCTTGCTACCCCTACTAAGTGCTTTGGCATGAAGAAATCATTTTAATATAATCTTGGAGTTACAGGCATTTTCTCTGTAAGCAGTGGGCTGCATTGTGAATTATCATAGGTATAATTGTGGATTTATTTTTCCAATTTCCTTAATGATTTTCAAAGTTCTGTTGATAGGTTATAGGTTTTGGACGTCAGTCTGATCTATTAAGCATTTCATTTGCCTTACAGGTTATAACTCGGAATGAATTAATGCTGGAGGAGACTAGAAACACTATTACTGTCCCAGCTTCTTTCATGTTACGCATGCTGGCCTCCTTGAATCATATCCGAGCTGGTAAGAGTCATAGAGGGAGTGGGTGGTCTCCCTGTCTTTACTGTCACCTTTATGAAATATTTTTATTACCACCATACTGTCCAAGACATAAAAGAGATCACATCCATTCTCAATATGTTTATAGAGCTTTCATATATGTAATGTATAAGTCTTCAGTTCCATGCCATCATATGTCCCTATAAAAACTATTTAGGAACGAAATGTCATTGAAATTTATTAAAAATTACAGAAAATGTATATTTGAAAGCTTTTACCAACTACCATTTCAAATGAATCACACGGTTGAAATTTAAGGTGCATTGTGTGATACCTTTCAATAATGTACTACATTTGGTCAGACCCAGCTAACTCCTCTGAAAAGTCATTGCCAAAAACCAGGAAAATACAATATACCAAGCCGCAGAGGAAAACCAGAGACCCACCTTTATTTAACCAACTTGTAAAAATTCAAGGTGATAAATTGTGAGGTTTGGTGCCCTTGTGCAACCAAAAATATATGTTATAATCATTGTTAAATCATGAATTGAATGTCATTCAGTAAAAATAAAAAAGGAGCTCTCTATTAGTGGTTATGATCCAAAGCCAATTTAAGGTAAGATTTTTGTGGTCATTTTTATACTGAATGACCTGATCTGCAAGGAGGTATATAGTAGAAAGGGCACTGAATGTGGAGGAAATATACCTTGGTTTTGAAGCCAAATTCTGCTACTTATTACTTGAGTGACCCAGAAGTAATTCAGTTTATCTTGTAGACCCCATCTGTAAAATGAGCATATGGACTAGATGATCTCTTGGGCTCTTACAAGCTCTAAGTCAAATAACCCTGTGAAATAAACTGTTTGTACATTGGGTGTTGTCATGATTGGGAGTAGCTTCATTATTGTTTGAAATCATCAGTTCATGATTCTGGGTTAAGTTTGATGCATAGATGGACAAAACAGCTTTACAAGGTGTAACATCTTTCCCCCTACTCTCCCCCCTTCCCCACATCACACTTTCTCTTGTTTAATATGAATATTGTAGTGACTTCTTCATAAAATTGATATTACTAAAGAATGTGAAGATCACAGAAGTAAGAAACACTGTCAGAGGTCTAGAGTCAGACTCTAGAACAAGGAACTATTTTCTTAATGATCATTCCATCCATCAACAAGCATTTTTTAAACATTTAAGGTTATTTTTTGTTAAGCTTTCTTTTTCTTCTTCCCTTTCTTCCTTCCACCTCCTGCCACCCACTGAAAAAAGAAATATAGAACCTCTCCTCCACCTCTCGCCCACCACATACACCTGCTTAAATAAAACATTCCCATATTGGTCACTTCTAAAGATATACTTTTTTAAATTCTTCCTATGAATCCATATCCTCTTTCATGAAGGAGACAGTGTTCTATCTTTAGCCTTAGTCCTTTGAAATCATGGTTAGTTGCTTAGTTGATCTGAGTTTTTTTTTTTAAAAAGATTCATTTTTGTAATATCAGTGTTATAGTGTGTCATTCTAGCTCTATTCACTTGCCCTCTGTATTAGTTCATATAGGCCTTTCTATGTGTCTTTGAAATAGTCTTTCCCCTCATTTCTCAGAGCATTAATATTCCATTACATTTATGTTCCACGATTTGTTCAGCCATTCTTCAATTGATATGTATCCTTTAGTTTTCCATTCTTTTGGATTCACAAAAAACAAACAAACAAGCCTTGTAAGTATTTTTATACATATAGGATCATCTCTTCTTTCTTTGATCTCTTAGGGCTATAGACTGCCAGCGGTGTAACTGGGTCCAAAGGGGATGCATGGCTTAGTGGCTTTTTAGTGCATAATTTCAAATTATATTCTGTCAGGAAGCCCAGCAAAGAACCCTTTGTCTGAAAATAGGCCCACACAAGTTGAATCTAATGACAAGACTTCATCCAGGGTCAAGCTTTGCTAGTGGCTAAAACCTTTTTTTTTATTTGAGTGATTTATGCATGAAAGTACCGTGTTCATATTCCAGGTTCTACTAAATGGGAAAGTTTTCATTTTAAATAATCATTTTAAACAGTTTTCAAATTCAAATGCCCACAGTGGAAGCTCCTTTATTCTAGAGTCCTTTGCCTTCACTGGTTCAACCATAACTCCATTGGGTTGCTTTGAATTTTTTAGATACTATTCTCAAAGCTTTGTAAGAGACATTAAAAAAAGAAGAAGAGCCTTGGGATTAGAACATAGTTTTTCTTTTCCTTGGCAACTTAATAATCAGGCAACATTAATAGTTCGATGGTTTGAACCGAAAAATCATGTATTAGCCTATTAAGTCCTACTACCACAGACAGTGCATAAATGAACCATAGAACCATAAGTAGAATGTTAGGGCCAGAAAGGATTTTTGAAGTTCTCTGAACCAACTCTCTCTTTATATAGATGAAGATACCAAGCTCCAGAAAAATAAATGACCGAAATCAGGTATATTTTGTATAGATTGGCCTAGAGCCACTAAGGTCCTTTCCAGCTCTGAAATTCTGTGCATTCGAAACTGTTTTGTCCTCTCAACGTGAGCTCTGAGGAGCAGTGGATGGAGTCAGATGGACCACCCCGCAATGCAGCAAGAAGATATGTAGGCCATCCACAGGAGCACCACATTGCCTTTTCCATATTAGTGGTCATAATTTAGGTAACTGAATGACAAAGGAATGGAGGCCTTGTGCACTAACCTTCATGTTAGGTGTTGTGGACTGGCCGTTAGGAATTCCTGAAGGGTCTCTTAACCTCCCACAAGTCCGAAAACCCAGTAGTATGCCTCTGGATATTCCCTGGGGAATTGCTTCCTGTTGATTGGTCCACAGAGGCAGGGGTCATGTTTATTTAAAGATTCCATATTGTCACAATTGTTTATAAAGATAATGTCCCCCCTAGTGTTCTAATTTCATGGCCCTTCTTTAATTCCCAAAGCATGAGGGCATCGAATTAGTTTTATTTCCCATTTAAAGGTAGGTGTACCTCCCTTTCTTCTTGCTAATTGCCAACTGGAAAGTTATCAGAGTGTTCTTAAAGAGGTTTGTTTTGCAGTTTGGACAGCCCAGAAGAGCTGTGGCATGTTTTTTTAGATTGGTAATACTCAGAGAACAAGATTTCGTTCAATGTAACATTGTAAATGGCATTCATAACCCAGATAGCACTAAGATGCAGTGATGAATAATGAGAATTGAGTTTGAGGAAAAGAGCTAGTTCTCTTTTTCCTCCTTACAGAAGCATTTATGAAATGCTTACCATGTAGCAGGAAGATTTTCATCTTCACTTATCACTCAAGAGATTGTCTAGGGACTCTCCAAAATCCCGAGCTCTGTCACAATCTCTTCCCATTAAAAAACAGTTGGTTACCACTGGGCCAGTGAAGTTGTGACCTCGCAGTCCCATTTTGTGTGTATGAAGAATCAAAGAATGAGAGTAATATTAGCTCAAGTTTGATATAAAGCACCTTAGCCCTATGCTTTACTCACAGCAGTCCTTGTTTTTGGATGAGGAAACTGAGGTCCAAGACATGAAATGAAGTGTCTTGTCCGTAGTTACAAAGCTAGTGTCCAGCTTAGGACTTAAACCCAGATCTTGGGATTCCTCACCCAGCAGTCTTCCTCCTGCCTTTTAAATCTTTGATTCTGACCTATGAGATTTAAGTCTTTTTAAAAGGACCCTTTAGTGGTGGGAAAAGCACACCAGAAGAGGTGTTGTCCTTGGGTCTACAGCCTTGCTATGTGACTTGAAGCAAGTCAATTCACCTCTCTGGGCATCAGTTTCCTCATCTGTAAAATAAGGTTAAGCTTAGATGATCTCCAAGGTCCATTCTAGCTCTCAAATTCTCTTGTTTTGTGATCTCAAAAATCCCTTACTGCATGTTCAGGAATCTGTATTGGTCACATATTTCATACCAGCTCCTTTTTTACGGAGTCTGGCAGACCTTAAGGTTCTTAAGAAACTAAAAATACAATCACTATAGTCGTTTGAAAGGTCATCTCAGAAAACTAAAAACCACCTTCACACATATATGTATAGCCAATTATATATTATCTTTGCTATTGGAAAAGAAACAAAAACAAGGAAAATCTAAAAGGCAATTTTTACTCATCTATAAAAAATTTACCTTGCCTCCCTTGTGGAGTAATGAGGAAAGACTTTATAAACTTTAAAGTTCCCTAGAAATAGGAACCGTGATTACTTATTTTTATAGGCATTGACAGAGCCCAGACTTAGTAGAACCCAGGGTCCCAGATTCACATCCCACCCTACTGAATTGTGGGCTCTGCTGGTGCTAGCCAGTGAATCCCAGCCATCTCTTGCCTTCAGGGAATAAACGGTTTCCCTTTCCTGTCCTGTGCAAATTCTTGCCCAGCCTGGGCCCCTTGGGGCAGTTATTGGTGAAGATTGAAGAAGATAGGGAAGTGTTCTTGGAGTCCAGGGAGTCACACTAGTCTTTTTTGTTCTGTAGTAACTTCTTTGTTGTTTTTTATTTATTTACACTGTTGTCGCTTCCAGTCATGCCCGAAATTCCAAATCATAGATTTAGAATATTACCTCATCGGCCACATACCAGTCAAAATAATGTTCCTAAGGCTCTATTCCTCCCCTACTCAGAAATCGTCAGTGGCTTCCTGTTGCCTGTAGAATAAATAGAAACTCCTTAAGCTGTCCTAACAGTCTGGCTATCACCTGCCTTCCAAACTGACTCCATGCTATTCGTCTTCACAAACTCTGTATTCCAACCAAACTGGACTGAAGACTATTCCCAGAACTCCACCAAATGGCTCTTGCCTCCAAGATTCGGCATAGGCTGTCCCCCATGTCTGGAATTCCCTTATTTCTTGCTTCTTCCTTTTAGAATCCCTGACTTCCTTTGAAGCTCGGCACATCCTAGATAAGTCGTTTTCTGATCCCCTGGTTGCTAGTGCCTCCTTCCCAAAATTAACTTGCGTAGATTTTGTATGTCCTTCCTTGTGCACATGTTGTTTCTCCCTATAGAACACAAGCTCCTTGAGGGCAGAATTTCATTTTTGTCTTTGTATTCCCCCAGCAGCTAAACACAATACCTAGTACATAGTTGGTGCTTAATAAATGCTTGTTGATTGAAACTGTTCCTCCAAAAACTTATTTAATGAGAACACTGGTGTCATCACTTGTTCTTTCTCTTTCTTTAGATCCTGATTTTTTGTAAGAAGCTTCTGTAAAATTTATGTAACCAAAAGCTTGATTATTTCCTAAAGATTACTGTATAGTAAATTCAAAGCTTTTCAGTACATGTCCATATAGTAACACTTAGTGCCTATTTAATGCATTCTATCCTAGGTTTCCGGGAAATAATACCCTCTCCATTTTACTGAAAAATTGAGGAATCAGTCACTAGAGACACCTTCCAACTCCCCACCCATCGCTTGGCCGTGCATAACTCATGGAACTCCAATTTTGCAATATGTCAGTCTAAGCTAATAGCATTGCAACTTCCCTTTTCCTTCTCTTTTAGGAACACACCTCCTGTCTTTTAGAGCATACAATAACCAGTTGAATTTTATATAGTTTTTTTTAAAATGCAAGCTATTTCACGTTGTTGACAGCTGTAATGCTAGATATGTATTCCCCTTACTAATTGCATATTTATGATTGCAGACCGTTTAGAAGGTGACCGATCAGAAGGCTCTGGTCAGGAGAATGAAAATGAAGACGAAGAATAATCAGCTTTACTCAGCAAGCACTTATCTAGATGTTCTGAAATTTGTATACAACATTTATTATATTTTTCCTTACAGAGCTTTAGCACAATATTAAGGTTTTTTTTTATAACATAACATTTATTTGGAACGATTGTGTGCATGAATTTGGGAGAGTGTGCAAGAAAAATTAGCAAAATGTTTTTAAAACCTTTTGCCACATATGAGGGGTGCTAGAAGACACAGAGTGCAATATTTTCCCTAACCTGCAGATGAGGGAGCTTGGATCAATGTTCAAAAATAATTTTCGTTATAGTGAAAATTTTGGTTCAAATAAATTTCCATACCTGCTATTTGCATGTTTGTTGCTTTCTAATTAAAGGAATTGGTTGTTTAAAAATGTTCTGAATTTGACTTTTCATATTATGATTGATGTTTTCCTACATTATGTTTATCCTTTCTTTTTTTATTATTATGACAGCACAGATGGGGAAAAAATAAATCTGAGGCTAAGATCTGTTTTTCTTAAGTGTTAGTAAAGTTAGAAAAACTTTCAAATTTCTGCTCCACAGATATTCTGCCCCAGCTTGGGTACTTGCTAGGAGGTGATTAGTGGTACCTCATAAAGAGAGGGTCATCATAATTTAAACATTTTTCGGGCATGAATAACTGAGAAAAACAGGGCTAGCATCCCTGAGAGATTCATTGTTTAGACAAAAGCACAAATTCTAGTGATAAGATAAAATAACTATTACCAATAGCTAGTATTTTAATATAAATGTTTACCTAATCATTATTATTTTCTCTCCCTCCGCCCCCTAAAGATTGTCCTAGGCTACTTTCACTTGACTGGTTCAATTTCTGTTCCCTTCTAGGTATTTTTACTGGTGTTAAATACCTCATTTGTTCTCTTCTTTGCTCATTTTAAGCACTGAATATTCCTCAAATGAGTTGTAAATTCTACCAGAATAAACTGTCCAGCACCGTATCATTCACCAGCACCTGCTTTGTGCCAAACACTGTGCTAAGTTCTGAGATAAGAAGAAAAGCAAAGACAGTCCCTGCCCTGAAGGAACTCACAGTACAGCATGCAAATCTGTGACTGTGTACAAACAGGAAACCTACAATATTAATTGGAGGTAATCAATAGAAGGAAGGCCCCCTAACACGAAGGGGGAGGAGGGGGAGGCTTTCTGTAGGAAATGTAGCAGAGATCAGAGAAAGCGTTCCAGGCATAGGTGGGTGGGAGCCAGGGAGAAGGGGGCAGCCAGTGAAAATGCTTGGAGCTGAGAGATGGAGTGTCTTGTTTGAGGAGCAGTAAGGAGGCCACTGTCCCTGGATCACAGAGTATGTGGAAGGGTGTATGAAGACTGGAAAGACAGAAGATGACCAGGTCGTGAAGGGTTTTTAAATCTACGTAGAAGATTTTATATTTGATCCTGGGAGTAACAGGGAGCTACCGGAGGTTATTGTTGGGGGATGGCATGGTTAGAACTTCACTTTTAGGAAGATCACCTCAATAGCTGAGAGGAAAAGGGACTCTAGTACAGAGAGAAAGACCAATCAGAAAACCGTATCTAGTTCAGGTATAAAATGATGAGGGTCTACACCTGGGCAATGGCACTGTCAGAAAAGAATATACACAAGAGAGATTTCAAAGGCAGAATTGACAAGACTAGGCAACAGATTGGGTAGAGAGTGAGAGGTCCAGTGTAACACCTCAGTTTCAGGCCTGGGAGACTGCAAAAATGTGGAACCTAAAGCTGGGCATGGGCCTCCAGCTACTTGTTCCCATCCAGCTCCGAGTCTCAGCATCTGTTCTTTGCCCTCTTTTGTTCTAGGGGCTCTGAAGTGCGATTGAAAAGAGAAAATGTGTAAGGGCCTTCTTTTCTCAAAGATACAGAAAGCTGAGTCAAATTTATATGAATGTAAGTTATTCCCTGATCAATAAATGGTCAGAGAATGTGGAATAGACAGTTTTCAGAAGGAGAAATCAAAGGTATCTATAGTCATATAGAGAAATGGAAATTAGAACAACTCTGAGGTACCACTTCACACGTATCAGATTGGCTGATAGGACCGAAAAGGAAAATGACAAAAGTTGGAAGGGATATGGGAAAACTGGGACACTGATGCACTGTTGGTGGAGTTGTGAGCTGATCCAACTATTCTGGAGAGCAATTTGAAACTATTCCAAAGGGCTATAAAACTGTACGTACCCTTTGACCAAGCAATACCGCTACTAGGTCTGTATCCCAAAAAGATTTTTAAGGGGGGGGGGGGAAGACCTATATGTTCAAAGACATAACAGCTCTTTTTGTGATGGTAAAGTATTGGAAATTGAGGGGAGGTCCATCAACTGGGGAATAGCTGAACAAATTGTGGTATATATTGTGATGGAATACTATTGTGCTATAAGAAAGGATAAGCAGAGTACTTTGAGAAAAACCTGGGAAGACTTATATGAACCGATGCAAAATGAACTGAGCAGAACCAGGGGAACAGTGTACACACTAACATCAGTATTGTGTGATAAACCGTGAATGACTTGGCCATTCTGATCAATACAATGATCCAAGACAGTTCTGAAATACTTATAATAAAAAATGTTATCCACTTGCAGAGAAAGAACTGATGGAGTCTGAGTAAAGATTGAGGTATAATGTTTCTCACTTTATTTTTCTTGCTTTTTTTTTTCCAATATGGCTAATGTGGAAATATGTTTTGCATTATTTCACATGTATAATGAATGTCACATTTCTTGTCTTTTCAAGAGGTGGGGAAGAGTGGAAGGGAAGGAGAGAATTCGAAACTAAAAAAATTGGTTTTAAATAATAAATTTTTTGAAAGTAGGGAGGGTGCCCTTTTCTCACCAAGAAAGCTATGAACCTGACTTTAATTTTTTTTTTATTTTTAATAGTATTTTTCCAATTATATGGAAAGACAATTTTTAGCATTCATTTTAACAAGATTTTGAATTCCAACTTTTTCTCCCTCTCTCCCCTCCCTTTTTCCTAAAATGGTAAGTGTAATCATGTAAAACATTTCCATGTTAGTCACAGTTGTGAAAGAAGAAATAAACCAAATGGGGGGAAAAAAATAATAAAGTAAGTGAAAATAGCATGCTTCAGTCTACATTCAGGGTCCATCAGTTCTTCATCTGGAAGTGGATAGCATTTTCCATCATGAGCCCTTTGTGACTGTCTTGGATCATTGTAGTGCTGAGAAGAGCTGAGTCACTCAGCTGATCATCATACAAAACGTTGCTGTTACTGTGTACAGTATTTTCATGTAAACCTGCCTTTTTAAAGGAGCCAGATCTTTGTTTCTGCTACATGGTTTGAAGGCCAAAATAGGTGGGAGATTGACCCACTTAATAACTTTAATGTCAAATATTTATTAATTTCGAAGAGATGCAAGTCTCTGCTGCTAGCTTTGCAATTTGATGCCTGAAAAGTGGAGAACAGATTAGCATTGACTGTGTCAAGAACCAGGCATCGAAACGCTTCCCTATTTACCTCTGAACCACCTTTCAAAGAGGAGTTCAAGCAGAAAAATGAGAGACAGATATCCAGAGATAAAGGAGAACAGGCAACATTACCTAGAAGTGAGGAGTAGACATTTGGTTGGCACCGATGCCGAGCATCACATCTGCTGAATAAGAACTTTTTAAGCTTGCTTTTTCAAATCTGCATGGATGCCTGAAGTAAAGATTACTTCATTTGCACATGCTGAGTTTGAGATGAGATGTCCAAGCTCTAACATTTCTTTGTCGGTTCTGGATTATCCACTTTCAGAATCACCGTGTGTGTGTGTGTGTGTGTGTGTGTGTGTGTGTGATGGGCTAGCAGTAATGGGTTTCTAGAGAATGCAAACTCATTTCGATGATATCCTAAAGAAAAAACACGTTAGTTAAATCTGCTGTGTATGGACACAAAGCAACTGAATGCTTTCATATCAGCTGCTTAATCAATGCTCTTGGCTTTGGAAAAGAGAGGAAGTGATTGAGCAGAAAGAGAATTCTAATCACTCACTACACACATACACAAACATAGATCCATATAAATGCATGAGAGACTGCATAGTAGAGTGGTAGAAGCCTGGCTTTGCAGTCAGGAAGATCTGGGTTCAGATTCTGCCTCTAAAACACTGGCTATGTGATCCTCTGAATGTCATTTATCCTCTCAGTGCCCTGGGCAGAACTGGTGTAGTAGAGGGAGTTTCCTTATTGGTAATTCCCTATACTAGTGAAATCACAAGTCCAGTCCAAAACCAATATGCAAACAAGCAGTATGGCACAGTGGATAGAGAGCTAGAAGGACCCATTTTCAAGTCCTGCTTCTGACACTCTTGTGTGACCTCAGAACAGTCACTAAACCTCCCAGACAACTCAGACTTTTCATTGTGGAGCAGACAATCTGCATTGGTTGAGGAAGTTCCCTATACTAATAAAATCACAAGTCTGGACCGAAAGCTGTATAGATACACATACCCCCACACAAGTATTTAGAGATATGTAGATATATCTCTATACACACACCGTTATATTTATATATAATAGTTCAGTTTCAGTCATATCTGAATTCATGATCCCATTTGGGGTTCTTTTGGCAAAAATACTGGACTGGTTTGCCATTTCCTTATCTAGCTCATTTTCCAGAGGAGGAAACTGAGGCAAACAGTTAAGTGACTTGCCCGGGGTCACACAGGTAGTAATTGCCTGAGGTCACATTTGAACTCAGGTCTTCCTGGCTCCAGGCCTTGCACTCTATCCACTGTGTCACCTAGCTGCCTCCATATGTATATGTGTGTATACACATACACACATACATGGTGCATATCTGTATATATGCACACATATACATAATACAATGTATATATACATGTGTATTGTTTTATATATTATGTGTGTATAAACACTATATGCATATACATATATGCATATATAGCACTAATACACATGTATACATTCACATGTATGTACATCTAGATCTATGTGTGTGCACACACATCCAGGTGACTTTAGATTCCAAGAGGTTCTATGCTCCAGAAGTGACTCAGGATTCTTCAATCAAAGTAGCTACATGGGCTCAGTGCCATACACTCAGATTTGGCTTGCGTATAGATTTTATGTTCACTTACTTTATAGGTTTGGTAATGCTTCACATGAGAAGTACTAAGCCTGAAGTCTCATTTTTTGTTTGTTATTAGTAACTACCTAAGTGTGATCTAACTGTTCTGTTACTCAGAGATCATGTGCAGTGATTCTTCTGCCCCCAGGTGGCCAAGAATGGAAGATAAAGTAGGAAAGCATTTCCGTTATTTCTGCTTAGCCTTTGAACATATATGGTACCACATTTGGATCTGGGAGGCCCTGAAGAAAACCTGACCTCCAGGACTGTAGAGCCAAAAAGGACAAAGTTGTGAGCCCCACCATTGACTTGCACGGCCACTGGATGAATCACCAATGTTCTACATTTCAGTTCTCCCACAGGAAAAAGTGGGGGAGCCCACAGGAGAGATCCTTGCTATTTACCATACTGTACATCCAAAGACATCTCTGCCCACTCAGATCACCTGTGCAGGTGCTAAATGCCTGCCTTAAGAAGGGTAATCTTTTGGCAGGCATGTGCTGACCTGCTTAAAGATCTCACTGGAATATTAAAATGAGTAATAAATGTGTTGACTACTTTGGGCGTGAATTATGAACATCAAAGAATACTATGGAAAGATGTTTCCATGGAAATAGCTCCACTTTTCTCTTTCCCCATTAAATGGAATAATACCAACATTTTTGCATTTTTACAGCAATTGTGATTAGTTGAATTAGAAATTGTGGGGTGCTTTTTCCTCATCGTGGATTTTAATATACATTCATTCACAGGATCATGACAGAATCTCAGTCAATCAATGAACAGCTAGATATCTCAGCTCCTTTTAGTTAACTGATTAATCCTGGATTGCTAAAAGTAAATTAAACAATGAATAAGTAAACAGACAAGTAAGTGAACAAATAAATAGCATTTACACAGTACTTTAAGATTTGCAAAAACACTTTACAAGTATTGTTTTATCTTGGCAACAACCCTGGGATGAATGTGCTATTGTTATCCCTACTACAGATGTGGAAACTGAGGCAGAGGCTAAGTGACTTGCCCAAGATTGCACAGCTAGTAAATAAGGGCAGATTTGAATTCATGTTCGCTGCTCCACATGCCTCCCACAGCTAAGTTTTACAAAGACAGTTTCATATCTCATTGAACAGGCTGTCCTCTAGACCATGAAATAAAAATCAGCTCTTCTATCTGCTAATACTGAGGAGAAATAGGGGTAGTGAGACCCTGTTGTGGGGTTCTCTTAATTCCTTGTTAAGAGGTTTTAGGAGCTTTTGGAAAGGAGCCTTTCTTGTGACGTTCACAATGGCTCCTGGATAATGTATGAGCTTGCTTTACGTAGTATAGCGTTGGCCCACTTATTGCACATGAAGGATAAATGGTTGATTTGTGACCTATTCCAGAGCATCTCTGGCTTTGGCCTTCGAAAGAAAGAAGGCAGACATTCGAGATGACCCAGAGCTGAAGTGGACAAAAACTGGAGTGGACAAAAACTGACTGTTTACCTCAAAGGAAATCTATGACCTCTCCAGGGTCCTGAATGACCCTAGAAATGGCAGCAGGTAAACGACAAGCTCTCTCACCAAGTGCAGTTATCTAGAAGTGACAGTGTCATGAAGGAATTTTTGGACTGAGACAACACAAGGTTTCTGCACCCAGTAAGAGCTGTAGCTGGAGAACAATTGGTGGAGGGGGGGGGGTAGGGCCAGGACCAAAACATGGAGGAGTAAACCTAGACCTTGCGTGTTATGTGAATAGTTCCAATCCAGAGAGAAAGGGGTCACCTTTTAATAGTCTTGAATGCTTCAACTGCAGAGTAGCAATGGCAGGGTAGCAGTGTGGAAGATTACATAGCTCCCTGGAGAAGGTAGAGGCCCATTAGAGAGGGAAGGACAATCCTCTTGACTTTATGGGCTCAAGTGAAAATACTTTGTGCTTTGAGTTTGTATCACTGAAATGAAGCTAATCAATGTATTGTTGGTGAGATGAATGAAAAGCCTGAGATAGGGTTTCTGGGTAATTAATAATCAATTAATCAATTTATTTGCTAACCTACTGGCTAGCAAAAAAAAAATCCTTCCTGCTTTATAGAAACTTTGTGAGTGTGGTGGCTGAGGTGGAACAGAGGTCATGGACAATGAGCAGATTGAGGAACTAGGAAGTCAGGATATTTGAGGGAGTATTGATGTGCATGTTGAAGTCACCTAGAACAAGGGACAAGAACAGAGGTAGAGAAAGACTGTGAGCTAAGTACGGAATACATTGAAGAAGGAAAAAGAGGGCTCTGGAGATTAGTAGGCAATAGCTACCAGAATCTTGATTGGGTGATAAATTTGGATTGAATGAGCCTCAAAGGAGGAGAAGTAACAGTGATGGTGATAGAGGAAGATTCTAAAAGTTACAATGGGAACCAATAAGTATTCTGACTCCAGTGACATAAACAGTTAGTCATGGGAGATGAGTGAAATAGATGGTCATACTCTGGATTTTGTCATCATTCACAAGTGTTTCACTTCCATATTTGTGAACTCTGAAATTCCTTTGTTATAGCACAATCTTTTATCATTCCATTTTTTCCTCTGCATTATTACCTCCATCCCCATTCTTCATCGTGTCTATGACCTCCAATCCCTTTACTCCTAAATTCTTTTCTAGACTATCACCTTTGTGGTGGTCATATTCTCCTTGCTTCCCTATGTCAGCCCCTCAGTGAATCAATTAAACTCTAGGACATACTCTCCTCTATACTTGAGTCCTTTGCCTCCTCATTCTATTACTGATTATGCCTTGTCAAGACACAATACTGAATTGCTTCCACTATCTGCTGCCTTTGCTCCTATTCAGAGAGCTGGAGAAAATCATAAACTGATTCTGAGTTCATTAATATAAGTAATAATAACTAACATTTACATAGCACTTAACTATGTGCCAGGCAGTGTGCTCAGCACCTACCTCCCAGGATTGTTGTGAGGATCAAAGTGAAAGGACAACCAGTGGTGCAAAGAGAATCAAGGAAATCATGAAATCAGGAGGGATCCAGGTCTCAGTGAGAGCTAGAAGATGGAAGGAGTGGGAAAGGGAAAGTTTAAGATGAAAATAAGTTTAACTATGGAGCAGGCATTCCAGAGAAAGCTCAGTGGATGGGGCAGGTAGATCTAAAGTGGGATATTTTGAGAGCAGTATTGAAAGGGATAGGAGTGAGTGGGAAGTTCTGGATGATGAATTGGTTTATATGACATCCAGGGGTTCAAAATCACTAGGACAAAGGAAGAGGGAGGTAGGAGTGCGTTAATCACTGAAGAATAGGTCCAAAGCAGAGAATCAGTGGCTGGACAGAGGTTTAGAGAAGGAAACAGGTGATGAACCTGTTCAAGGTCCTCACTTGATGTAGAACCTTGTGGCAAGTGATGATCTTGTGCCCTTGCAGCCCAACTCAGGTGGCAGGATTAGACAAACAAATTGCTAAGGGAGTCTAATGAGGAGTCAGTGTAGGGCAATGTACCTAAACAGGCATATATGGAATATATACAAAATAAATATTTGGCAATTTTGTCAGGGAATGCCCTGGTGGTTGGGAGGTAGGGAACAGAGCAAATCAGGAAAGACTTTTTAAAAAATTTATTTATAGCTAGGCAATGGGGTTAAGTGACTTGCCCAGGATCACACAGCTAGTAAGTGTCGAGTATCTGAGGCCAGATTTGAACTCAGGTCCAAACTCAGGAACTCAGGGCTCATGCTCTATCCACTGCACCACCTAGCTGCCCCAGAAAAGACTTTTTGAAGAGCATAGGTCTGATCCAAGAAACAGATGAAAAGGAAATTTATCCCAGGTGTGGAGGAGAGCCAGTGAAAAGGCAGAGGGGAGAAATGGAGGCCAGTTTGGCTGGACCATGGAGTGCATGAAGAGGATTAATGTACAATAATAGAAAGATAGGTTGGGGCCAGGTTAAAAATGGTTTTCAGGGTCAAACAAAGGACTTTCTATTTGATCTTGGAGGTAATAGGAAACTACTGGAGTTAATTGAGTAGGAGAGTGACATGGACAGACCTGTGCTTTAGGAATATTATTTTGATGGCTCCATGGAGAATATATTGGAATGGACTGAGACTTGATAAAGAGAGAACAATTAAAGAGACTATTGCAATAGTTCAGATGAAAGATGAGGAAGACCTGACCTAGAGTGATGGGTATGAGAATGGAGAGAAGGGAATGGATCTAAGGGATAGTATGAAAGGAGAAATAACAAGATTTGGCAACTAATTCAATATGTGGGGTAGGGAAGATGAGGAGTCAAGGATGACATCAAGGGTGTGAATCTGGGAAAGACATTGACAGAAATAGGGCAGCTCAGAAGAGTCCGGTAGAAAAAGAATGGCTTCCATTTTGAAAAAGTGGCATCCGAGATGCTCCCAAGATAGCCAGTTTGGAACTGGGGAAGCAACGATAAGGGATGATGGAGAGAAGACACAAATACTGAGCTCTTATTTCACTTCTGTTTTCTCCACCAAAAGGGTAATTTTTGGACTGGAAAAGATGAAACAAATTGCTCCTAGGGAGCTGAAGTTATAAGTAGGACAATAGTAAGTGAGCACCTAGCTGTCCCTAATTAATCAAGTCACTAAACCCAGACAGACAATATCCAAGAGTACTGGAAGAAATGGTGAATGTAATAACTAAGCCGTCAATGGTCTTTGAACAACCATGGTGAATGAGAGGTACCACAGAACTGGAAAAGGGCAAATGGTCTCAATTTTATTTATCTACTTTTTGGGGAGGCGATTGGAGTTAAGTGACTTGCCCACTGTCACACAGCTAGTAAGTGACTAAGGTTGGATTTGAACTCAGGTCTTCCTGACGCCAGGCCTTGACTCTCTATCCATTGTACCACCTAGTTGCCTGCACTGTGCTAAGTGCTTTATAATTATTATCTCATTTAATCCTCACAACACCCGTGGGAGGTAGGTGCTGTTAGTTCCCTTTTATAGATGAGGAAACAGAAGCAAACAGAGGTTAAGTGACTTGCCCAGGGTCACACAAGCTAGTAAGTGTCTAAGACTAAATCTGAACTTAGGTCTTCCTGACTCCAGATTCAAACTCCACAAACTATGGCTGCCAGATCTCAATGACTGCCAAATTGCTCCAGGATTATAGAAATTTCCCAATGGAGATGGAATACTACAAAACCACCTTGTACCATGATGTACATCGCAAAAGTGATTTACCCAAGTGATGGAGAAAAACACTCTTTAAATGGTCTGAGAACTCACCTGACTTAAACCCCATGGAAAACATACGGACTAAAATCAAGGCAAGATTTGGGAAAACGGACTGTTCATCCAAGGGATTTAATGCTCAATATGATAGAAGCACAATTTTATGATGAAGAATTAAAGAACACATCTCTAGATTTTGTGAATTCAATGGCAAATCATGTAAGATAATCATTGCTGCAAAAGGAAAACTTGTAATTTAATAATTTTTAATATAAAAAGCTGTAAGGTTTATTGAATGCCAATAAGTTGAATTTGTCCCACTTTGCCCCAGTTGATTTGCATCCCTTTATAGCCTGTGGGGATCTTTTTGGATCCTGACTTTATTATTCAACATTTTAGCTCTTCCAAGTTTTACATCACCTCTAAATTTGGCAAATTTAGCATTCTGTCTTGATCCAAGGCAATGATAAACATATTGAACAATGACTGATCCAGTATGGCTGAATGAGAGGGCTGAAAAAAGCCAGACTACTAAATTAATCCCCCAATTCACAAGATGGAATTTATTACCACAAAATAAAACCACAGGAATTGGCTCTGTAATTTCATTGGTTGGGAAACTCCCCAGATGAGGGAACTCTCTACCAAAGCAGGCCAGTATCTTCCCTACAATTAGAGAAACCTAAAGCAGTAGGAAGTTAAATGACTCGCCCAGGATCACACAATGTGTGTCAGAGGTGAAACTTGAACTCAGGCCATACTGTGTCTGAGGCTAGTTCTCTATCTCCTATGTCACACTGTCTCTCAGTGTATAATGAATAAAATCATAAAGAAATGAATATAGAAAAACAAACAGGCAAGAATACCAAGGCACATTTTCAAAAAAGCTGTTGAAGGTAGTCTTGCGCTCCCAGAATTTAAAATATATTAGGACATAGACCCAACTCATTTCTCAAGCCTAAAATATTTGCATTAGAATCTCCTCATTGGTTGAGAGAATGATGAGTTGGTGCTGAATACCTAGGTGAAAAGCAGAGTTTGGCATATGAGCTTTAAAGATGAGATAGATTCTTCTTCCATCCTCTTTGAGAGAGAGAGAAAACTGTTTCAGGAACAGACTCACACAAATGACTTTAGAAGGCAGACTTGAAGTGGAAAATCTGATCCTGATTTTGTTAATCTTCCTAAGAGACTTTGGGAAATTTCCCCTTGGGTCAGATCATGGACTGTTTCTGAGAAAGATAGGAGAGCCAGGGAAGAGCAGTATCACATAAGTCCACAAGAAAGAATATGAATTTCCTTTTGATATGGCTATATTGACTAAAGGCTACCTCAGATGAGCTCACTTCTCCTGGGTCTCCAAAGTCAAATCTATGGGGGGAGGGGGTGACAGCTGCCTGTTGGTTGGTAGGCTTCTTAGCGGTACTGTGTTTGCAAAATGCAAGTGAATGCTATCCTGTGGTGTGAAATAGCAAGCCCAATTGTGCAGTAAGATAGGTGAATGCCAAAGGGAATTTTAGGGAAACCTGGGAAGACTTGTATGAACTGATGCAGTGAACAGAACCAGAATAATCTGTACAATAACAACATTGTAAAGAAAAAGCTTGATATACTTAAGAATTCTGATCAACACAATGACTAACAACAATTCCAGAGGGTGGATGATGAAATGTTCTACTCACTTCCCAAGAGGTGATGGACTCAGGATGCAGAATAAGACATATTTTTTGGACATGTCAAATACGGGAACTTTATTTAGCTTGATTATGCATATGTATTACAAGAACTCCCACACACACACCCCACCCACCCACTTCGGGGTAGGGTGGGGGAATAGAGGAGAGGGTGGGAGAGAAAATAGATGTTAGTTGGACACAAAAAAAATTTTTAATTTTTAAAAAGACAGATGGATACTTAATTTAGAGACCAAGTGTTAAGACAGTTAAAAGACTGACACCTTCTACCCATTGAGAAAAGGCTGATCATTCCATTAGAGAAGAAATGGAGAGTTCCTGCTGGTTCTATAAGGGGGCACAGTGGAGCATATGGAGCCTCGTAGTTTATATCTTATTCAGTTCAGTTCAACAAACATTTATTAAGTGCCAACTATGTGCAAGATACCATCTAGGCACTGGAGAGACAAAAATAAAGCAGTCCCTGCCCTCAAGGAGCTTACATTCTACTGGAGGAAAACATGTACACTGATAATTACAATATATATACAAAGTAGGTACAATATAATCGGGGGGGGGATAGTGTTAACAATGTGGTAGAACAGCAAAGCCCACTTAGAGGAGATGGCATGTGGGCAGAGATCTGAAGGGAGCTAGAAGCTCCAAGATACAGAGGTAAGGCAAAGCATTACCATGCATGTGGAACAGCTTAGTGTGGAGGGAGGTACAGGAACAGGAGGTGGAATATTTAATATGTATGGGGAACACCAAGCAGCCCAGTTTGTCTGGAATGTAGCGTGTGTGAGGGAGAAACATGAAATCAATTTGGAAATAGAAGCTGGAGTCACATTATAAAAGGCCAAAGTGAGGAGTTTTTATGTTATCCTGGAGGCATAGGAAGCCACTTAAACTTAGATCAGGGAACTTACATGTTCAGACCCATGCTTCTGAATGTCTGGTTAGCAGCTGTCTGGAGAGAAGAGACTGGAAGTTGGAAGACCAATTAGGAATACAAGTCACAGGTGATGATGGTCTGAATTAGGATGGGTGATCACGTGAATAAGGGGAAGGGGATGGATAAGAAAGCTGTTGGGAAGGTGGAGTCAGCAAGACTAAATCTCATGGATAAGGGCTCATAAATAATCGTTACTGGTCCAATCAGCAACATGGTTGGAGGTAAGGGTAAGTGGTTGGAAAAGACAAGCAATCGTGGACCTAACTGATGGGGAGGTGCCAAGACTTAGTGGAAGGTGCCAGAGCCCCAGCTTCCAGTGCTAATGCGGTCACTAACTAGCCATGGTGTCACATAGACACAATCTCTTTGGGGTTCAGATATCTGCCCCCAACTCCTCACAGGGATATTGTAAGGGGCAAATAAAATAATGGAGCTAGAAGCCTTTTGAAAAGTCTAGAAAGCAATACACAAGTGCATCATCATCATCATTATTATTATTATTATTATAATATGCTTAGGTGCCTAATGGGTCCTGGAAGAATTGGAGAGCATTCTGCAATGCCACGGCTCTCTCTATTTCTCCCTCCTCTTTGTATCCAAGTGTGAATGTAAAAGGAGGCTAGGAATTGGGCTTGCCTATGAGAAACTCACCTTAGATCCCCATGCCTATGAATATCAGCTCCTCACATTTTACACACTTATACACACATACCCAAACACATGTTTAATTAAAGAAATAAAACTGTTCTAAATACATTTTCATTTGCTTATAATGATTTACAATTCCCAAATTGTCCTTTGCTTGCTTACTCTTTAAAAAAATCCCCAAACTTCAATCCAAATACCAGTTCCTGAATGGGTACATTCCATGATTCACAACTGCATTATCAGCACACATATAAGAGATCTGTTTGTCATGCATCTGCACCATGGAATAACATATTGTTATGCCTCCCAGAGAGATGACCTCCATCCTCTACAGTATTCTTATATTGCAGCAGTGCTACATAACCTTCCCTCAGCTTTGCCCTACATTGAGATAGGATCGACTTTCTCCAGGATTTGTGGCATTTCCCAACACTAGGGCAAAAATTCCCATGTCTAAAATTTGATAGAAGTGGCTTAAAATTCTCTACTAGTTAACACTGTTCAGGGAAAAGGTTTAAGAGTCTTTGAGCAAAATGAACATGGTGACTTTGTGATACACATCCATAAACATGACACTGGGCCAAAGTTGTGCTCTTTGTTATCTGTGAAGATTTAGTTTGTGCTCTGAGCCAATCCCAATCATCTCCCGTGGGTCTATGATTTAAGGTCACACAAATATTTCCCCTAGAGCCCATGTTCTTCAGTTTGTCAAAGTCTGAAGAATGTCCTTCTGTATAAAAGTAAGTCTGCTCTTTCTTCTGACATCAAAGCCTTTGAATACTTTCATGTCTTTCTTGAGTGGAAAAGAGGTTCCTTCCCTCCCTAAACTACTGGAAAGACAAATCCATCTTGAGTCATTAGCCTTTACTTCAAATCCCAGCTCTGTCATTTACTATCTATGTGACCTTGGAATAGTTTCCTTACCTATAAGATGGAAGGGGCTGAACTACATCAGTTCTCAACTTAGGGTTTGTGAACCTGTTTTCTAAAAATGTTGATAACTATTTCAATATAATTTATTTCATTTTCCAATCCTATGTATTTTATTTTATGCATTTAAAAATATATCTTTTTTTTTTTTCTGAGAAGGGGTCCGTAGGCTTCACCAGATTGCCCAAAGAATCCACAAAACACAAAAAGTTAAGATCCCTTAGCCCAGATGATGTCTAAATGTCATCCAGTTCCAACAGTCTATGATTCTGAGATGTGCAGCCCAAACAAAAGGCCCTGCCTCTGGACCTCACTCCTTCCTAGCTTTTCACAAAGCTCCCAGTTGAATGCTCTGAATTCTTGTAATTGTTTTTAGAGCTTGGAAGAATGATGCACCTTGGTGTTCATCACCAGGCTTCATGTGCTGAATTTTTAGCCTTTCCTTCCTAAAGCACAAAGTGACCATCAACTTCCAAAGGGAGTATGAAACAAAGAAAATACTGGCCAATGGATTTTCCTGGGGCATATAAAGCTTGGCTGATAAATTTCCTCCTATCCAGGCCCATAACCATGTCAAGCGCTGCATTCTTTCCATACTATCCAGGCTAGGAAGCTTGAGTAGGGCACTTTTTTTTGGTAATTCTCTGCATGGTTGATTTATGCTATATCCTTGTCTTCTCTCCCTCAAAATGGCACCCACTATCCTAATCCCTCCTCCTAAGCCCAGACATTCTTTCAACAAAGATAACTGTGACAATTTCCATACCAACAACTTTCAGCATCTATTGCTTCAGATGGTGAGGTTGATAGCAGGTCCTCCAGATATCAACTGCTTGCCCCAAATACCCCAACAACCCCCAGCATATGATGCTCTTGTTCCTAGACACAGGTAACACTGGATGATCTTTTAGACCTAAACACATTGAAGCCCTAAGGCTTCAATACAGAATGAACAGGGAGAAAGCAGCGAGGGTGGTTAACAGCCCTCGAAGTACCCTGCATTACCATGAGAAGGCAGCAACCTTGGGGTCAGGACTGAAGTTATTAGTCAGACAACTAGAAGATTAATAGCTTTCTATCTTCACATGAAAGATTTTCCCATTCCAGCAGTGACACCTCTGGCTTGGACGGAGTTAATGTGGCCAGGAATCTCAACTGAACTGGGACAGGTTGTTGCTTTTTTGGGGGGTGGGGCAGAGAGAAGTGGGGGTTGATTTTTGTTTTTGACATCTCCACTAGGTGGACAGGTGTTTTACATGAAATTCTCTTAGCTCAGATACTTCTAGACACAAAAGGGAACATTAGGATTTACCTCAGAGCACACTTTCTCAATTAACTTGGATAAGGTAATTTACAAGGCAATAATACAAAGTACCTGGCAAGTTTGTAGAAACTAAACTGAAGACAGGGCGATTCACAAGATGAATCTCAATACTGGCCAGTTAGCTACAGATCAGCTCACAGGGAATGGGCTAGTTTCCAAGGACATTTTCCCCTGGAGCTTTAGCCACTCAGGGAAAAGGCATCCTAAACCACCCAACTTCTAAAACTTCTCTTGATGCACTGAAAAAAGCCAAGGTAACCCTGGCAAATGATCTGCCATGTTCTTCCCTGGCACCCTTCCCTCTCCCAGCAGCTGGGCTCAACATGGGGGACAGTGGTGAAAAGTCAGGGACTATCTCCTCATCCTCTGTCACTTGCCCCAGTCTCATCCTTATGTCCCTAATGGCTTTATATACGTGTGTGTGTGTGTGTGTGCACGCGCGCGCGTGTCCCTTATAAATACTGTCTCAGGTGAATTCTGGGGGGGATGTGAGGACAGGGAAGTTTCAGAAAGAAACAAAACCTTTTCCTGCTATCGGGAATTACAAATTGACAGGTGGGTAGGAGATTCAAAGATCTGATGAACCTTCAAATCTTACAAAAACATCTGACAGTTGAGTTCCTTTCTTCCTTGGGGGTGAAAAGAAAGGAATCTCTTTCTCTTGGTCATGCATGTGTATACCCCATCCCTGCACCTAGAAGTGAATTTCAAGTCCTCAGAGTTGGGATTTCAGGACCATTTGAACAGGAATCTCCTCTACAGCATCTCTAACAAGTCATTCAGTCTCTACTTGGACACCTCTAATGATGGGGAACTCACTATTTCCTAACTGAGCCCATTCCATTTTTGGATAAGCTCTAGCTGCCCAAAATGTTTTTCTTTACATCGAACCTAAATATATTCTCTGCAGCATCTACTCATTGCTTGTCATTCTGCCCTTCAGGGCTGATCACAAGTATAATCATTCTTCTAACACGGCTGCCTGATACCTGAAGGTAAGTCATATCCTCCCTAAAAGCCTCCTCTCTTCCAAGCAAATTATACCTAGGGTCTTGAATCAATGATTGTATGGCCTCTCACTACCCTGGTCTCCTTCCTCTCAACTTGTTTTAATTTGTCAGGGGCCTTCATAACTCAGAACCGAACTCAAGACTCCACATGTAGCTTGACCAGTATAGAGTACAGTAGACCTATGAATGGCACTGCTCTGGAGACAGAGAACCCGGGTTCAAATTCCACCTCTATTACTATTACTATTAAGTCATTTAAGTTCCTTGAGGTTCAGTTTCCTCATCTGTAAAATAAGGTTATTGGACTAGAAAGCTTCTGTAGTCCTTTCAAATTCTAGGTCTGATCCTATGAACTCCTCATTTTGGACACGAGGTTTCACTGAATGTTCTTTATGATTGCAATAGCCTTCTGTGGCTGCCAGTGGCACATGGCACACTCAACTTGTCATCTGCTCAATCCCTTGACTCTTCATGCAATCCCTAGTCTAGCCAGACCTCCCTCATGATACACCTGATTTCTTTTTTTTATACCCAAGAGAAGAATGTCACATTGATTTCTAATCAATTTCATCCTGTTAGAGTCAGCCCATAGTTGCAGCTGGTTCAACATCTTTGAGACCGCAACTCTGCTCTCCTGTTTGGAAGCCTTCTTGCCATTTTCCAATTTGCCAAGCACAATACCCTTGTCTTCATCTGACACAAGAGGGTATTAATTTGGTAAATGTTAACAAGGGCCTCGTTCTTGAAATAGGAGAATGTCAAGATTACACTGTGGGCCAATATCATAAGGCCTCTTACAAAACGCAACTAAAGATGCTTTCTATTTACACTATTGCTCTACAGAGTGAATGCTATGAACGCCTAAAAAGTAGAATGCTTGCCCCAAATGGAAGTGTCATGAGGACAGAGAACTTTGGAGAGTGGCTACTTGAAATCAGGTATACCTGGACCACTTTAAGACTTAGCTAGTCAAAGAGATAGAGTCTGGACCTGTGATTTCTTAAGTGTAGGCAAATCCTGGGATGGGAAATTCCCTCTACCAATGCAGGATGGCATCTTCTCTGAAACTCACAGTCTTAGAGGGTTGCTTAGAGCATTAAGAGAGGAAGTGACTTGTTCAGGGTCACATTGCCAGTATGTGTCAGAAGCAGGACTAGAATCCAGTCTTCCTGGTTTCTAAGCCAGCTCTCTATCCACTATACCATGCTGTCTCTCAGTCACAGTCAACCCAAAACCCCAAATCACAAATGGATTTTATTCAGCCTAGAATAATGCTACCCCATCCAGGTCAAAGGGAAGGTGATAGGGAAGGAAGAGATTTTTCTGGAATCTTCAGTTCAATTAGGACCCTATGGTCATCTTCAGCCCAAACCTCCAAGATAAAGTTAAGAAAAATCTGACCTAAGAAGTTCATGGATTCTGAAGAACTCTTTATAATTCAGGCCCTTTTCTCCTACATTTCCTGTTGGCTGGTATTCCGTTGGGGACTATGAAACAAGTGGAAAGGTAAACTGAAAAAAGGCCCAGGTCATCCCTTCCTTGTATATGCCGTAACTTTTTTTTAAAAAAAGTCAAATACTGTTCCCTGACTCTGTATCCATTCTTTTCTTCAATGTGAAAGAAAAACGACCACAAAGTTCTGGAGGGTAGATCTTGAGCGGCAGTGACTAGCTTTTTGGACCATTAATTCTTTTCTAGTCCTAGTCCCCAAGAAGACCCTGTTCTAAGATCACTTATAATATCACAAATAGAAGTCCACTCAACGAAGCCTTCACTTGGGAGGATAATTTCATCCCCGAATAAAAATAAGAGCTGCATTGTATAGTTGTGCTAAATACTATTCTCCTTACTAAGTCTCTGTAATTAACCTATTCTGAAAGTTTTCAATCTAAAACACAAGGTCCATGACCCTTCCTCTTTCATATGAATAGTGGTTTTCCCCTTCTTTTGAAATACAAACACCCTTGGGTGAGAACATCAACAGCCTGGTCCTCAGTGAATGATCTGCTCTCTGGCAAGGATAAACTCACTTCCCTCTGACCAGGCCCACCTATAATTTCAGCAACAGCCACCCACAAGCCAAACAGGTGGATGGCCTGGGTGCCAGCTCTTCGACTCTGATTCTTCATGTGCTGGGCCTTCTGCTAGACAGGCTCTCTGATTTTCTTTTCTCCCAGCACAGACCGGAATCACTGCACATAGATCCAAGAACACATGCCAACCCAAAGAACAAGACACCAACCTGATGCCCTTGGGAACAATGTAGAAGGATGTCCTTCCTACAAAGTGCATTTACCTCTCTCTAAGGTTCATGGTCCAACCTACTATGAGGGTTCCTGGGTCAAGAAGGTGATGAGTAAAGCAGCTTGTTCAATAAGATGACTTTGTGCTGCATTTAAACTTCTCTGCCCCAACTTTGTGGACCTGGTAACACTGTCCTCTCAAAATACAACAGAACCATGTTGTTTACCTGTTATCCACCTGTTTATCTATGTGTCTCGGCTGGCCTCAGGGAAAAAAGTTACTAGAACCTAGAAGAGTGGCTACAATATAACAATGAGCCTAAATGTTTTCCCAAATGTAGCACTTTTGTCTTTTCTCTCCTTTTTTTTTTTGGTGCTAGTACGTTAGCTGATTCCCCCCCACCCCCCACGTAGTCCCTTCAAAACTGTGCCAACCCAGGGCCACAGCTTCCTTGGAGAAGGGTCTTGCTTTCTTGGCATCATGTGGAATGACATCTCTAACCCTTGCCCCTGAGTGGTATCTCTGGTCCCTCTCTCTGATGGCCCTAAAGTTAAATGTTCCCTTCCTCAATGCTCTGCAGCTGCAGCCTCTGGCTAGTGTGAGTCCTACTGCCTCGGCGGCCCCCAAAGCCTCCCCCTGGCATAGTCCGAGTTGCCAGCAATACTCCAGGCAGAGCCTCCTCCCCAAACAAGCTAATCTTGGCATCCGCTTCGATGGCTCTGGCCAGACTGGCTGCATAGCTGTCCAGGGACTTGTGTACTTCAGCCTTCACGTGGAGAATAGAGGTTTTGGCAGCTTCTGCAGTGAGAGGGAGAGAAAAAGGTTAAACAAATAACTGGGGCCAGTTCCCATCCGTCAGAAGCTCACCCTGCTGACTCACTGTCCCAGAAAGCTTTGGACGGAGGATACAGAGCTAATCTGAGGTAAGGAGCTCATCACACCTGAAAGCTGCCAGTTATTTCTGCAATTACTGCAGGGCTTCTATTCTACTCTAACCTAAAGACAGAAGGACAACACTGAGCACCTACTATGTGTAAGATACTGTCCAAAGCATGAATGAAATACAAACATGAAAAGCAAACAACTAGACTACTTTTTCCTCAAACTCCCATCTCCACACCTTTGCACAAACCATCCCCTATACCTGAAATGTATTCCCATCCTCACTTCTGTCTTTTTGAATCCCTAGCTCCCTTCCAGGTGAGGCCCAGGTTCCACCTCCTAGGCAAAATCCTTCCTAAACATTGCTAATGTTCTCTCTTCTCAAATTACCTTCTATTTATATGAAATAATGTGCATAAAATAGTTTAGAAAATTTAAAGCATTGTATGTATGTATATCAATTATTGCAATTATTTTAATATGCATGTATATACAGATGTGTATACACATACATGTCCATACATATAGATTGCACATGCACATGTATATTTGCACACACATATACATACACACATGTGGGTATGTATCTCTATCCCACAGTACAGTGTGAGCTCCCTGAGGGGACAGACTATTTTCTTGGTTAGTTGGTTTTGTTTTGGGATCCCCAGGGCCTATCAGAGTGCTTTGCACATAGCAGGCATTATTTGTTAGTTTCAGCTGACCTAATCGAAGGAGGGAAAGATGTTAGGGAAATGATAATTGGATGAGAACCTCAACAAGGGCTTTCTAAAACCCAACGAGCCACTTAAAGGGCCTGTCCCACATTCTGATCACATGACAGCATCCTCCTTATCCCTCCCACACTAAAATGGCCACAGAGGCTACGTGGTCTAATGGATAAAGTCCTGGACCAAATTCAAATCCTGCTTTAGGCACTGACAAGCTGTGTGATTCTGGGCCAAACTCTGAGCCTCAGTTTTTTTCATATGCAAAACAGAAATAATAAAATATCAACCTCATAGGGTTGTTCTAAGAGTCAAATGACATAGTGTATGTAAATGTATGTAAAGTGCTTTATGAACTTGAATCATCATCACAATCAGACTGAAGATTCACATTGCAGTCTTTGCCACAGATAAGAAGGTGCTTTTGTTGGGTATATTTGTGCATTTTACAGATCAAAGCAACAGGACACATTTATAAAGCACTTTCTTCACAACAACTCTGTGAAGTAGATAGTATGTTATTATTATTTCCATTCTACAGACGAGAAAGCTGAGGCTCAGGAAAGCTAAAGGATTTGCCTATGGTCACATACTAACTATAATGGCAGAAACCCCAAACCCAGGTCTCCTGAACCAGCACTCTACTTCTACTCTTTCTCTACTTAATAAATGCTTGTGGATTGTTGACTCGTTGATTCTGCTGCCTCTGTAGAAGGAAACTGAGGCATGGCAAGGGCATGTGACTAGGTTAGAAGGAGATTCAAGGAGGAGATGAGACTTTCAAAGTTCTAGTTTGGGGCTGAGAAGGGGATGCTGAGCCCAGACATCACTTGGTCTTCTAGTACAACTTCCTCTGTGAGTAGATGTGGCTCTTTGGGGGTTCAGGAGGAAGCGGTAGGAAGGAAAAAAAGAATTCAAGAGGAGCCCAATCCGGTGGCTAGCCTGGGGCAGGAGGCTTGTCTAATATTCCCCAATTTCTTTAGGCTTTCATGGAGTAATCCCATCACAGGAACAAACCTTTCATTTGTTCTACTTCATCTTCAAACGTCACTGAACTGCGTCTCTTGGGAGGGCAAGTGCATCTCGAAGGAGGATTGTCATCAGAACTGTAATCTTCAAGTAGCATCACATCAGTCCCTGAAATACAGGTCAGATTTTTCAAAATAACAGAAAATACCAAGACCGCTCATTTACCTTGGAGGCTGGCAATAGCTTTAGCTTTCCCCATTCTTTCCTATCTCCATTTCATTCATTTAAGCTAACTTTTATTAGGGGGAGGCTCCAGACCTGTGATTTCATCATGAGTATACTCCTGGTATGAAAACTCTCTCCACTGATAGAGATTAGCAACTCATCTGTTATTTATAGGCTTAGAGTTTACTGGCATACTGAGAGGTTAAATGACAGCTAGATTATGCCAGGCAGGATTTGGACCTAGCTATTCCTGACTGGCTCTGTTATACCATGCTGCCTCTCATTCAATCCAATTAAACCAATTTAATTTAAAATATTTATTAAATATCTACCACATGCAAAGTGCTATGCACAATCCCTGCCCTCAAGGTGCTTACAATCACACAACATGAATAGAAATAATTCTGACATGAAGTAGAATACAACAAGGATAAAGGAGAGCCTGATGAGATGAGCTCTAGGAAAGCTTAAGGAAGAGGAGATGACTTTGAGGAAATGGGGATGATGGGAATCCTAAAAGGCTTCCTGGAAGAGGTGGCCAATGGAAAGGGAGAGTATTCTAGCCATGAATGGTATGCAAAAAAAAAAAAAGATTCCTTTCCCTCATTCTCTTACCTTTCTGTTTATTTTAGACATTTGTTCTTTGGTCCATGGTCCTTATACTTATTTATTCTGTATTCCTCACAGAACTAAAGCTCCTAAGGCAGCTATTTTGAGTCCCGTCTTCTAAATAGATTCTATGTTATTACACTGTAGATTTTGTCCGCTCCTTCCTTATTTCCCTGATGCCTCACACTCAGAAGTATCAATTCCAGCAAGAAATAGAGAGGATAGAAGTACTGTCACACTGTAAAAATTTTCCTGTATCCCTGACTGATTCATTATCATCCCCTTCCCTCCCATGATCACCCATTCTCCCCCACACCCTCCAATTCAACATGAAATCTCCCCTCTGGGACCATGTCCTTCTACTCTTCTGGATATTAGTTGCCCACAGGATATGATTCCTTCTCCTGAGGCAAGATACTCTCTCCATAGAGGCACAATACTATGTCAGAGTTAGTGGTTTTACAAGCACTGTATCTCTGCAGATTGTACTCATTTAAGGTCCCTATCTTTCATGACAGAATCTCTCTTCTCCCTCTCCAGCCTCTTGGAGAATGTTCTTCGGTGGGATGCCCCCTATCATTGAATTCCCCCTTTACTTTACCCTATTTCAGTCCTTCCCTTTGCACTTTTCCTACTGTTCAGACCACAAATTCTGCTTTCACCATTTTTATTTGTTCCCTGAACCATTCAGGAACATCCTGCTGTGGTCCCATGTTCTCTTGGTCCTGTGTCTCATCAGGTGTTGATTCATTTTCCTTTGACTTGCAATATTTTCAAAGACATTTGGACTAGTTTAGATTTCCTGAAGGTCATCTTTCTGTTATTAATAGTCTCTCTCCTGATTTATCTGCTTGTGCTCAAAGTGTCTGAGTCCTTTTCCTACTGAGATCTTGGGTAATTTCAGTCTTCCCCCCTCATATCCTTCTATTGCGCACTCTGGACACCTTCACCTTGGATAGCAGGTCTCCTGAGTGCTACCCCTCAAAGCTGTGTCAGTCTCCTCCCAGAAGTTAGATAATATACTTTTCACAGCCTCAGGCTATGCCTCAAGTCAACAAGCATTTATTGAATGCTTTCTAGTGACTTCAGGGAGGGCTAGAATTAGTCCCAGCTGGATGCCAGTCTCCTTTCCTTCAAGCCTGGTTAGGTCCCACATACAGGGGGCAGGGTACCCCACCTAGTTCCCTGAGTTATTTTGTTCTTTGGTTAAGCACTGCTAGAGACAGCATGTTGTCATCCTAGGCAGAGGGTGCTTTCCTGTATGTACTATGACTTCCTCCAAATGGTAGGGGATTGAGGGTGGGGTGAGGTGGCAAGGAAGGAAGAGACCACAGTTCTGTTGCTGGATGTCACAGAATGGTGGAGTGAAGGTAGGAGCAGGGGATATATGCTGGCAAAGACTGCAGCAGCAACAAGGGAATTATTGAGTCCATGTTACATTGGTTGCGAGGTGGGTAAATAGAGTGCCAGGCCTGGAGCCGGGAAGACTCGAGTTCAAATCCAGCTTCAGACACTTACTAGCTGTGTGATCTTGCACAAGCATTTAACCCTGTTTGCCTCAATTTCTTCATCTGTAAAATGAGATGGAGAAGGAAATGGCAAATCACTCTAGTATCTTTACCAAGAAAGCCCAGAATGGGGTCATGACTGAAATGACTGAACCAGAACAACCAGATCAGGAGCCTTTGGGTCCCTCTATATAGTCCAGCCAGGTAGTCAGGGCAGAGAGGGGAGTGGTTGCTAAGTGAATGCTGTTTGTTCAGGAGGCTGTTACCTCAGGGTTCTTACTGTGTTGGCCTATGGAGATCTAATTACTTTAACTCTTATTATTATTTTGGAGAGTTTTAAGAAATCATGAGGATTGGAGAAAATGTCTAGTCCTCCTTTTTGTATGTCATAGCCATGATGTCATCAGCCTTGATGAAGCCATGCTCAATCTTTGGGATCACTGTTTCATGTTCTAAATGTTCACTAATCATCATCTTCAATAGTACATTCTAGAATTCTGACAAGAATCCAGCTTAAGCTCATTGGCCTATAGTTTGCAGATTTCTAAATTACTCCTTTATTCCCCTGACCATCTGCACCCAAATGTTCTCTCCACCATGGCAGTCTCCTCCCCCTTCCCCCCCCATCTATCCTGTTTGTTTGAATAAGGTAGGTATACTCATCCAGAACCATATTCCAGTCATGGGTCTTATCCCACCATGTCTCAGCGATGCCTTTTAAGATCAAATTTGCCACCTTGTATTTGAATGTCTAATTCACTTTGTTGTTGCCTAAACTTTGCTCATATGTACATACATATCTGTTCCTTGTTTGGATTTTATTTTCTGTGAGCTTCTAAGTATCTGGATAATAATTCTTTTTTCCCTATCCTTGTAGCTATTTTCTGTGGCATCTAGCATGGTGAAGGTAACAAATAGTGTCTTCCCTACCCCCTTCCTGTTCAGAGATTTTTCAGCTAAAAGTCCTTTTAATGAACTTTACAAGACTCCAGGTAAATACATTCTTACCATCCGTGGCTCAGAACCTGACATTTCTATATTTTCAGCTATGGTCTATCCAAATCCAAAACTCAAAAACCATCTTAACCTTTACTGCCCTAATCTGCTTTTCTCTTCTATATCCCTTGCCTTTTATGGGCAATGATGAAAACACCACATGCATCCCTGGGACCTTCAGTCTCTTGACTCAGAACTTCATGACCTTTGACAAAGTTCTCTAGATCCCTTCCGGTTGTATCACTGTCCGTACGTGAATCACTGGAAATGGGAGTAGCCACCAGTCTTAACTAGCCTTCGGAGGCTCTTTTATGTCTCTAATAAATAAAAGCAACAGACCTCTCTATTGTTGACATCAAGTCCATAGCTGCTGCTTCAGCTGCAGCAGAATTCTTCAGTAAGAAGCAAACAAGCATTCATTAAGTGCCTACCATGTACCAGGCACTTTGCTAAGCACCTTATGAATACTGTCTCACTTTGTCCTCACAATAACCCTGAAAAGTAGGTGCTCTTAATTATCCCCATTTCACAGTTGAGGAAACTGAGTCAGGCAGAGGCCAAGTGACTTGGCCAAGGGTCAAACTGCTAATATGTGTCTGAGGCCACATAGGAACTCAGGGTCTTCCTCATTCTAGGCCTGATTATGAACTATGGCACCACCTAGCTGCCTTTAGGCCATCAAGGAACAACCCCAATTTGTCTCTTCCTTTTCTGACCTTATCTCATCTGTTACTACCAATGTTACTACCAATCTGTTACTACTTATCATTCCTTATAGGATAAGCAAATACTTCATCCTCAGAGCATCCAGTTCCTTCTTCTTTAGAAAGAGCTTCAAATTGGTCCTCTTAGTGCCATAAATTCAAAGGTCCTTGTTCTTTTTCAATCAATAAACATTTATTAAGTACCTACTAGATTCCAGACACTGTGCTAAGCTCTTTCTTCTTCCTGTGAAAGTCTTCTACCATCAAACTCAGATCAAGATTGCTTTCTGCCTCTTCAAATACTTTTACTTCTTTATTTTCATATTAAATCTCCTCTTTCTTTTTTTGGAGGAGAATAATAAAAGTCTTGAGAGTCAATAGGGTATAGTAGATAGAGAATAAGTCTCAGAGTCAGGGATATCTGGGTTCAAGTCTCAGCTTCAGTGGGCTCCCAGAAAAAGATTCTGCCATCAGGGAGGGAACCACAAGGGAAGGAGTTTGCTTTTAAAAGCTTCTTTAGAAAGAATCAAAGGACAGAGACCTGCTTACAGAATTCAGTGCTAAAGGCAATAAATTCCGGTGGTTCCTACAACCCCTGGCATCCAATAAAAATCCAATAAAAACTTTCTTATATTAATATCGAATTATTAATTGGGTTAAGGTTTTCCCTTTCTATTTCTTCATTCAGAAATAAACCCCTATAGGCTATTCAGCCAGTTTCTGAAGGACTTTGCTGATAGATGAGATTGCCCAAATCCTGGGATACATGCTTTTCTATCTTGGGTGAGACCCCACCCAACTAGAAAACCTTACAAAGAGAATCTAATCTAGGTGAATTCCTGCCCATTGTATTCTACTCAGGCAGGCTTGTGCTGAGGTACATCCCTTTGTCTACACTGGGGGAAGGGAGGTGGTCTGGGTAGGGATGAGAAAGAGTAACATAATCAAAGTCATATTCCCTACTCCTCATTAGAATAGGTCCACCTCTCATTATAACATTCATTCTCTCTTTAAAATTTTTTAATATAGTATTTTATTTTCCCCTCAATTACATGTTAAAACAATTTTTCACATTTGTTAAAGTTTTAAGTTCCAAATTCTATCATTCTGTCATTAATGGTTGATTTCCCCCATTGGGAACACCCCCTCTTCCAAGGGTATATAATTGTTGATCAGCCTCCATGATTCATCTTTCGTTTATGAGAGATAGCCAAATTACCATCATTTTACTAATTATCTGCTAGCCATAATTAATAAAACTGATTATTAATTACCCAGAAATTAGGTCTCTTGAACTTTTTCTACATTACCCCTTCCCCTGCCCTCTGCCCAGTTTGGTATTTAATGCTCTTCATAAACAGATCCCAACTTACCTTTCCAGCCTCTTTAACGTAACCCTTGGAGGCACTTTCCAGTTCAGCCATACCAGCCTTCTTGCCATTCCTCCCACGTGATATTTTATCTCCTGCCTCCATGACTTTGCACTGGTTGGGATGTGCTCCTGCCTCACCTCTTCCTCTTGTAATCTCTGGTTTCCTTCAAGACTGAGCTTGAGTGCTGCTTTCAGCTTTGGCCTTTCCTGATCTCCCCAGGAGCTAGTTTATTCCCTACCCCTAGGAAGCACCACATATTGTATCTATACCTATGTATGTATGTTCTTTCCCTCATTAGAATGTAAGCTCCTTGAGGACAGGGGCTGTTTCCCTTTTGTCTGCATCCCCGGTGCCTGGTGAACAGTTCCTGAATGTTAAGCATGGACTGATACTATCCAAAGTCACAGATCAGGAATGATTACACTAATAATCACGTTGCCACCTCACCAACATAGAGCACTTCACAACAACAACCCATGCTCTCACCTCTTTCTAACCTCAAGGTTAAACAACAGGCAGTGGAAATAAGAATTATTATCATTTGTAAAAGATGAAATACAGAAAAGTCATGCAACTTGCCTGAGGTTATATAGCAAATGAGCCAGAGACAGGGTTAGAAACCCCATCTCCTGTCTTCCAAGTCCTATGGCACACACATGCTCCCTCACCCCCTAACCCCGTCACTCCCTCCCAGGCAACCTTCACTCCTTTCTGCTTTTACCATGCCGATGGATGTTTCTGCAGACTCAGAATGGGTTACCTGAATCCTGAGAGCAGCTGAAGCCAGTGTCCCCGGTGCTGCTGCTGTGCCCCAGAGGCTGTCCTCCTGCCATGAGGGCGGTAAGGTGTGGAGACAGTCCTAGGTCTGTAAGACAAAAGGCAGCATTTGTGGATGGGACCAGTTCAAGGCTGGATAGAGACAGAACTTTCTAAGTCCCCCTGCCCATTCAGAAATCCTCATACTTCCTCTTCCACACCACCCTCTGCCCCCTGCTTTGTCCACACTGGCCTCATACGAAAATATGTTCTTAGCACCTGGAAAAAGATTAGATAGATTTATTCAGAGTTAACTGTAAATTAGTATAACAACTCATTGCTCCTACTCCTGGCCTTTGCATTTTTAACGGACAAAATGTATTCCCCAAAGGAATAAATAAAACTTTCTGGAAATTAATGATGATGATAGCTAACATTTACATAGTACTTTAAGGTTTGCAAAGCATGTTATATACGTGTATATATGTGTGTACACACACATTCTCATTTGATCCTCACAAACACCCCGATGAGGGTGCTATTATTTTACCCATTTTACAGATGAGGAAACCAAAACTCAAAGAGATTAAATGACTTGTCCAGAGGCTCACAGCTAGTACGTGTCTCAAATCAAATCCAGATCTGGTGAATACTAGGCTCTCTAGTTGTGTTTTTTCTACTAACATAACAGACTCCAAGAATTAACAGGCAAGTGGAGAAACAAAATTTGGCGACAGCCATCATACACTTAGGCAATAATCTAGTTTACCTTTTTTTTTTTGGCGGGGTGGGGGAGGCAATCAGGGTTAAGTGAATTGCCCCGGGTCACATAGCTAGTAAGTGTCTGAGGCCAGATTTGTACTCAGGTCCTTCTGACTCCAGAGCAGGTGCTCTATCCAATGTACCACCTAGCTGCCCCCTCCACCTCTCTCTCTCTCTCTCTCTCTCTCTCTCTCTCTCTCTCTCTCTCTCTCTCTCTCTCTTTTTTTAACTTTTTCGGCAATTGGGTTTAAGTGACTTGCCCAGGGTCACACAGCTAGTAAGTGTTATGTGTCTGAGGCTAGATTTGTACTCAGGTCCTCCTGACTCCAGAGCAGGTGCGCTATTCACTGTGCCACCTAGCTGCCCTCTTTTTTTTTTTAAGTATTATTGATGTCTTTTTTTTTTCATCATAATTACTTCTGAAAATACCTCCCCACTCCAAGCCCCAAACCGAACCCCACACATCAGTTATACAAACACAAACCCTATGGACACAGTGACCCAATGATGGATATAACATTCTACTCTCATAGTTCCCCACCTCTCTGTACCAGGAGGAAAGTGGTTTCATTAGCTCTTCTATGGAACCGGGATTTTTTAATTACTCAGACTTCAACTTTTGGACCTGACTTTTTAAGATCAGTCCTAAGACAAAAGATTCTATACTAATGTTTCCATGTTTCCTATGATGGCATCTGGTAATATAATGCATGCCTTCCCCTCTTACCCCAGGCAAAAGAGGTCATTATTGTTTATGGGTAGGCTGGGGTTGGGGGGAAGGCACTCCAGGCCAGCATCTCAGTAAGTAGATTTTGTACAGTTTCTATCCCAATGAGTTCTGCAGTCCCCCTTGTGCTTCTGATTAAGGCATTTATATACCAGGCTGAGCTAGGACAGAGGATGAAGGCCAGAGAAAAAGCTAAGCATCCTTCCTTTGCTCATCCTTGTCCAGACCCTTTAGCACCCAGAGGTAACTGGATTCCAACGGTGCAGTCCAGGGAGGAGGGAGGGAGATGGCTGGCTCACCATCCTTGCAAATAAGATGGCGAGAACCACAGTTAGTTCTGGAACACTCGCCGAGGGATTGTGGTAAGAGCTAAGAACAAGCCTGACTCTCCCACCAGTGTATGAGCCTGACCGCAAGCTGGAAAACTGTTTCAGTCAGTTCAGATTTGTGGAGCTCTTGCATTTCACTTTCATCTGGCACATCCTCCTGAATCAAGCAATTTTCCCCCAACGCTGGTGCCCTTTTCACAGAGAGGACAACAAAGGCATTCAGAGTTCAGGCAACCAAGGGCCAGGAGGCTCGTGGTATGTGGAAGAACATGCTGCCTGGAAGAAGGATTCATGCCAATTAGAAGCTTCCTGAAGAACTCAGTAACAAACTTTGAATGAAAACTCACCCTGTTGATGGAATCAAAAAACTGAAGTTGCAAGTATTTGAAAAAAAAATTTAAAGTGGGGCTGGCTAGTGGCAAAATTGTAAAGTAGGTGAACTAGAAACTTAAAATATCCCTGTTGTGCAGCTAGAATCTTTGGGAAAACCTGAGCTTTACTCTTTCTTCATTTAAGGATGTGACTGTTTGTATATAAGCCAATGGATCAGGAGAGAAAAAACGAAGGAGTCATCTGCAGGCCCAGCTGAAAGCCATAGCTATTTAACGATTAAATACCACCCTCAACATGTTTATACAACCCCTGGCATCCTGAAGGCAGCCAGACAGCTCCAGGCAATTGTGAAATTCAATTTCTGCTTAGGATCACAAAGCAGTTTTTAGAATGGTGTACAATTCTGGTTTGTTTGCTTTTTAAAAAATTTCTTGGATTGAAACTTTCCAGAAGAAACATTTTCAATAAAAATTTAGTGCAGTCAACTCTCAGTTATCTGTACCAATACAGGATGGGAAATGAGAAATGGGAGAGCAGCACACATAATCCACAGCAGCAGGGATCTCAAAATATCACTTCTATCTCAAATGGAAATGCATTATTTGACTTTCTTTTGAGAAATATGTTTCATTCCTAATTCTATTATTTTGTTCTGCATAGAAGTGACTCTGGATTCTAGAAAGTTATTCTGTCAGAAGACAAGCCAAACAACTGTGGAATGTGGGCCAACAGCAATGGCCTAAGTGTCATCTGTCTGTCAGATTCTCTCTCTCTCTGTCTCTATCTCCTTCTCATCTGAGGCCAATTTTGCTGGGTTTTTAGAAGCTCATCAAGCAAAAGGCTGGCCATCAAATATTTCATTTTTTTAGCTGCACTAACTTACTAAGGTAGAAGGGTTGCAATCTGCATTGGTGAGCAGAGTATCCAAAATTGCAAAATCTCAGTTGGAAGGGACTTCGGAGAAAATCAGAGAATCATACATGTAGAACTGGAAGAGACCTAAGAGGTCATTTAGTCCAACCTCCTTTTTCTAGCTGAGGAACCAGAGAACAAGGTGAATCCATTTTCCCAAGATCACAGGGGCAGATAGTATGTGAGAGGCAGAATTTGAATCCACATCCTCTGACTCCAAAGCTAGTGATCATTCTGCTCCATTACGCTAGTCTGACCCATACCTGTATCCTTTCTTTGTTTAAAGACCTGCAGTGAAGGAGAACCCACTAAATCCCAAGACAATCCATGGCACTCCTGCGCAGCTCTCTGGCAACACTCCCTTGCATCAAGTCTAAATATGCCCCTTTATAACACTTTCCCTATTGCTTTGGGTTCTGTCCTTTGAGGACCAACATAACAGGCTCTTTCCCTTTTCCACATGGTGGCTACAATTTCTTGCCTAGGTCTTTCTCCAGCCATACATAATCAGTTCCTTCAACCAATGTTCATATGACATGATCTCCAGGCCATTCCCCATTCTCTGTACCTTCCTCTGGGTGGTCATCCTCTAGCTCCTCAATGTCCCCACTAAAATGTGGCACCTAAACTGCAAAGAGAACTCCAGAAATGGTCAGCCAGTCTCTCTAATAACAAGACCCAAACCTCAGGAACAATGATATACCCTTCTCCACTCCACTTCAGTTATTCACCAGCATGGTTACAGCTTAGATCTCACTATCTGACTGAACTGGATCACTCCCAAGATTCAGAAATTCAAGTACTTCTATTGTAGTTTCTTATCCTTTCCCCTTCCCTCTTCCTTAACCTGCTCTCTGACTTCATCATAACCTCCAGTTCCTTGACCATTTCCTATTCTCCCAGATCACCATGTCTAATTTTGCCACGTTTGCCTTATAAATAGGCTCTGCGTGACCTTCACCATCAGATTTTCCTGCTCCTACTCCCAGACGGTTGAGGCAGGCATAAAGTCTTCAGAATGGAGAAGTTATAAACTCTAGCTGATTTCACCTATTAAAGTTGTATGCTAGACAACCTCAACTGTAAGATAATCCTTCCCTTTCTCCTTCACTTCTTTTCTCATTCCCCTCACGAGTAGTTCAAACCATTTCTTCCCGTCCTCTGTCCCAATTCCTTCTCAGCCCTCTACATGATTAAGCAGCCTGCTTCAGAGAAAACTGAGGTTATCCAACAGGAATTTCCTTCACTCCCCTCCTCCTTTTCTTAAATTCTCTTATCATTATTCTGTTTTCCTTTCCCCTCCAGTCACGAAAGAGACACCCCAATTACTCAACAAGGCTCACCTCTCTGTGCCTTTGGCCCTAATCCCTCCACCTCCCCCAGGGTCTTGTTGCAGCAGTTAACCCACTCATGCATCTTCATCATTTCCTCACCACTGGCTCTCTCCCATCTGCTTACAACATACTCTGATCTCCCCAGTTCAAAAAGAGATTTCTTCGAAATCCTATGCCCTCTCTCTACTCTTCCCTGCTCAATTATTTTTAAAAATTGTTGACTCTCATTGCCTCCAATTCTTTCTCTTCTCTTTTCAGCCTATCTCTCTGTCTCTCTCCTCCATCCCTTTGCAATCTGGGTTGTATCAGTTTGGACAGAACTTTGTATGATGAATATAGTTTTGAATGTAGATGATGAATGAAGTTTTGCTTCATGGGCAGAATAAGCTAGTCTAGGTCTATTTTAGTCATAGAAGAGATCACTTTTCTGCTTCATTTTGGAGAAGTATTCATAAAACATTGCTCAGGTAGCAACCACACAACCAAAGCCACATTTTCTTAATGTGACCCAGGAGTGTATCCCCTACCTGACATATCTGTTTAACCAGATTCTACTGCATTCCAAAAGAACAAGGCAACTTTCTATTTTAAATGCAATTCAGGATTGGGGGTGAGGGGAGGATGGTAGGGAATAAGTCAAAAAGAATAGGAGATGGTTAAATTTTAAAATCTAAGTCTTTGGATGTAAGTTAGTTTTTTATTGTCTTAAGAAGAGTGAAAATGGTATGGTGAATAAAATGTTGAACCTGGAGTAAGGAAGACCTGGATTCAGTCTCACACATGATATTTACGTGTGTGTGTGTGTGTGTGTGTGTGTATGTGTGTGTGTGTGAGAGAGAGAGAGAGAGAGAGAGAGAGAGAGAGAGAGAGAGAGAGAGAGAGAGAGAGAGAGTGTGTGAATGGGAAAGCCTCTCTGAGCATTAGTTTCCTCATCTCTAAAATAGAGACAGTATCTTGGGTACCTGCCGCACAGGGCTGTTAAAAGGATCCCACCCCTAGAATGTAAAAGAACTAAAGCTAAGATGACAAGATTTAGGACAAGCCTAAAATACATGCTGAACAGGACAGTGTTTTTTGACCTTTTTTGGTGTCACAGACCCCGTTGGAAGTCTGCTGAAGTCTAGGCACCCTTTAGTCAAGTCATGGTTTGATGCCTACATTCCTCATTGAAGGAAATGTTTTTCAATTTCATTTAATGGCTAGTGATGTAATTTTTCCCCCACCGAAGTTCACAGACTCCCTGAAATCTAGCATCAGCCCTAGGTAAATCAAATTAAATTTCTCCTCCTAATTTCATAGTAGCATAGATTCTCTGAGTTAAAAGGGCCTTTTGAGAAGTAATCTAGTCCAACTACTTGTCCAAAATATAAATCCTCTTTGGTAGCCTTTTCAAATTAATATAGCACATCTTCATTTAGTCATTTTCTCCTAAGAGACAAAGAACGGAATATTGATAGGGAGGGGGAAAGCAATTCTGCCTTGTGAACTGTGGCTGGGAATAGGACGGTCACGTGGCCCATGCACAGAATAACAAAAAATCCCTGGCACCCCCAGGGAAGTACGCTCTTAGTTATGGTCCTGCACTGCCAGGACCCTAGGAATTTCAGGGTAGGAGCAGAAGCTCAGAAAGATGAAGAAAGTAAGAAGGCCAGCTCTCCATCACCCAAGAAAATGCATCTTTTTCTTTTCCCGCAACCCTGGCCCGTGAAAGAGCATCTTACTGAAAGGCCACTTTTGGCATGAAGGCACTGGACCACCAACCCCAGGAGGTGTAAAATGACCGCAACTCTCTTCAGTTACTCTCCACTAAGATGAAATGTAGCGATGATTAAGTGCAAAACCCTTGCTCGATTAAAAAAAAAACTCTACAACTACCGGCTAGAAAGCAATTCAAGTGAAAAACAAAACAAAATCTTAAAAAACACCTCTGGGTTTAGTAGACTGAAAGCTCAGTAAGAGTCAGCAGTGTGGTATGGCAGCCAAGAAATCTGATCTATTGACTATGGAAAAGAGTGTCTAGAGCGAGGGGGACGACAGTACTGCTGTACCGGGCCTGGGTCAGCCCACGTGTAGGGTACCACGTTCAGCTGTGGGCACCACATTTAAAAAAGGCCCTAGCACGCCTGATGTAGGCCACTGGAGAGTGACTAGAATAGTGAAGAGACTTGAGATCATGTCACGATATCCAGATTTACAGAACTAGAGATGTTTTAGCATGAATGATACGGGGAGTGGGCATTAAGCCATTCTCAAATATTTGAAAAGCTAGCACATGGAAGAGAGATTAGAATCATTCTACTCTGCTCTGGAAGGAACAACGAGGACTGATGGATGGATGATACATGGAGTGAGCTTTAAGTTCAACAGAAGGAAATACCTCCCGACAATCAAAACTTCTCCAAAATGGAATGCATCACAATGAGATGCAGTGAATTCCCTCTCACTGAAGGCCTTGAAGCTAAGGCTAGATGACTTCCCACCAAGGATGAGGTAGAGAGCTTTCTTGTTATGGAAATGGGTTGGCACAGATGCCTGGAATACATAAGTACTTAATAAATGATGACTGATTGACTGACCGATTGATTTTTGACATCCCTTCTAATCTTGCAATTCTATTATTAGAGACACAGGCACTGAAGATGAACAATGATGAATGTTTAACGGATGTGATAAAGACTACTCCAATCTGTATAGCACTTTCCAGCTTAGAAAGCATTTTCCTCACAATACTACATTATTATCTCCATTTTACAGGTGAGGATCAGAGATTTTTAAGTGCCTTTCCAGGGCCACAAAGGTAGTAAATCTCGCCTTAGTTAAAGATTGTCGTTCTTTCCCCTACACTACACCACACTGGCCGGAGCCACTCCTTAACGCATTCTGAGTGTTTCCATTCTAGCCTCCCCCGGCATAATTTCTAATACAGATTTAGTGATATTTAGCTATAGTTGCCTACATGGAATAGCAGCCACTGTAGCAGCCAGGAGAATTAACGCTCAAAAAATCCCAAACCCACACTTACTGTCTATTTTGATGGTGTTGTTCAGTGGTTTCAATCATGTCCGACTCTTTGTGAGCCCATTTGGAGTTTTCTTGACAAAGACACTGGAGTGGTCTGCCACTTCCTTCTCCAGCTCATTTTATAGATGAGGAAACAGGCCAATAGAGTCACACAGCTAGTAAGTGTCTGAGGCCCGATTTGAATTCAGAAAGATGAGTCTTCTTGACTCTAGGCCCAGCATTCTATCCATTGTGCCACCTAGCTAGCCCTTGCTAACTATGGTCACAATCAATTAAGATAAGTTGGCCACCTATATTACTTCTATGTCCCCATTCCCTAAAACATGTGACCTGGGTCTTTGGATGAGTAATGTCAGTAAAAGAATCAAAGAGTACATTTATAGCTCTGCGATAGGCATTCATATATACCTGTAATCCTGTTGGAGATGCTAAACAGCCTGGAAGTTCTTGGTCGCTGAACAAACGGCTCTCGGTAATACCGGTCTCCAAAGCACATGCCTAATAATTCTTTGCGCACTGTCTTGTTCCAAAGTCCGTAGATGAGAGGGTGGCAGATGGCACTGGTGAAGGATAACCACGTGGCTAACGTCTCCAAGGCAGGAGACACACTGTTCTTGCCCCAGAGGGCTTCGGACGTGATGACGACCATGTAGGGGCCCCATGTGACAACGAATGCACCAATCACTACCAAGATGGTGATGAGCGCTTTGCACTGGTTGGCAGAGTAGACCACACCTTGGAAAGTGTTCCTCCTACTGCCTGAAGAGGAGGTGGAGGTGTTCGAGTTTTTTCTCCCATTTCTCTGGGCATCCTCCTCCACGATGACCACCGTACCACAGTGGACCTTGCGGGCCTTCACCCTGGCTACACGGAAGATGAAGCCATAGCAAACCACCATGACCACAAAGGGCAACAGGGCACACCAGATTTGCCAAAAGGCCGTGTAGCCAACCTCCCGGTGCCAGGCAGCTACACACATCCATTTGAACTCATCAAACTCCACAGATGACCAGCCAAACAAGGGAGGGAGGCAGCCAATGAGGGAGTGGAGCCAGATGTAGATTAGGGCAAGCACAGCCCGGTTCCCGGTGATCTTCATGGGGTACACCATGGGATAAAGGACAGCATAGTAGCTGGCAAAAGAGATGTGGGGAGAGAAAGTCAGAAATGAAAGAGAACATGTGATGGCAAACGGCACTGGGTATATTCTAGGGAGAGTTAAAGAATTTAAATGATGAGATGATTCCTATCAGCAAACAGCACCCTGCCAGTGCTGATGCCAGGCAAGGTCTATATACCAATGTAAAGCTATACTTGTAGCTAATAAATAATTGTAAGATGGCAAAAAACAATACTTTTAAAATAATTAATAATTATTTTATAATTATTATATATAATTATATAGTATATAATATATATTATATACAAAATGTATTATATACAATATAATTATACTTAATAATTAAATTAATGGTTAATTAATAAAATTTAATAATTTGCAATGTTATTTTAAGGAAAACACTTTTAAAACCTTAAAAGCACTTAGAAATGTTCACTAAAAATAATAATATCCTGATCTCCCCAACAGCTGGTGCTCTCTCCAAAATTACCTTGTATTCAATTACTTTGTATATATATTTATTCACTTTATGCTATGTATGTTTATATTGTTGTTTATCCTTCATTTTCAAAGAGGACAAATGACATCACGAGGTGATGTCTTGACTTGTTCATGAATTGGATTTAAGTAAGGCAGAGCTGCGCAAAGTTGTCAGCCTCACTCTCTCTCCCAGAGTCATCAAAGTCCAGGGGCAAGGCAGAAGTCAGAGTGACTGGTGAGGACCCAGGATGCAGTGGCTGACCTTGACATCTTAGGTGTCTGACCAAGCTCTAAGCATTCCACAGCACCTGCTTCAGCCATCTTCATGGCCATTGGAACAAACTTCCACTGGGAAAAGTCTTCACATGCTTTGGATGGACATCTCCCTAACTCACCAGCAGGTTTGAGGCCTCAGTTACTCTCAACCTGGTTTAGCCCATCTATGGTTTTACCAGGGTGTGACCGCTGCATATGCTATAGATTCTTGAAGCCATAGGGGGTGTGTGTGTGTGTGTGTGTGTGTGTGTGTGTGTATACATATATGTATATATATACACACACATACACACACATATACACACACATATATAAATATATATGTGTGTGTGTATGTATATTATATATATATATACACATACATACATACATATATATATACATACACACATATAAATATATACACATATATTTATATATGTACTAGTCTTTTCCCTTACAACATAAGCTTCTTACAAGCAGGGATTGTTTTATTCATTGTCCTTGTATATCCAGTCCCCAGCACAGTGCCTGGCACACAGTAGGTGCTTAATAAATACTTGCTGTTTAATTGACATTATGGATAAATCTTGAAAATGTATTATATGCGAGAAAATGACATTTATGGGTTTTGAAGTCTTCAGAAGCTTAACGTTCGTGACATATCAGCAGTCGCCCTGACAAGAACCTCTATTTTATTATTATCACAATAATAAAAACAATGAGATGTAACTCAGCTCTAGGAACCTCAAGATAAACATTGTACGGTACATTGGACAAGCTCTGGAAAATACCATCATCCTCTGCATAACCAGATATGTCATCCCAATTTATTTTGTTGTTTTGGTTAACGCTATTTTTAGTAACAATGTCATCTGTCAACCTGTGGAATGAGACTCTGAAAAACATTTTCCGTGGGCACTGGTCCCAAGAGCATTCATTTCTAAGCTATTTTAGCCTTAGGACTGTGTTATTTTATTTCCAGTGAAACTTTTCAAGTGCCTAATTCATCTTCCCCTGTTAGCAACTGTCTTAGCAATTACTTCTTCCATTCCTGTTGGTTCAGACACTGACATTGAAAGGGCTAATCTCTTCTAAATAGCTAGTTTCACTCCCATTAGCCTATGCATTCTTTATGTTCTCCTGGTTATGTTCACAAGGTTCCTCCATATGGTTTACACTGACTGTAGTGACCAAGTCAATTCAGTCAAACCAATTGGTCTAATTTCTTTTACTAAACTGCTTGTTTGGCTAAACTAATTAAACTAACTGGCCAGTTCTTTCAGCATTTTGCAGACATCCCAGCTGTCCCCTCTCTTGATTTATTCTCAAATAATCTCTTTCTGGGGCAGCTAGGGGGCACAGTGGATAAAGTACCAGGCCTGCAGTCAGAAAGACTCCTCTTCCTAAGTTCAAATCCAGCCTCAGACACTTATTAGCTGTGTGCCTCATACATTATTTGCCTCAGTTTCCTCATCTATAAAACGAGCTGGAAAAGGAAATGGTAAACCACTCCAGTATCTTTGACAAGAAAAACCCAAAAAGGGTCATGGAGATCTCAATAGGACTGAAAAACAATTCAGTTGGGGCAGCTAGGTGGCGCAGTGGATAGAGCACTGGCCCTAGTGTCAGAAGGACCTGAGTTCAAATCTGCTCTCAGACCAGACACTTGATACATGGTAGCTGTGTGATACTAAGCAAGTCATTTAATCCCAATTGCCCTGCCGAAATAACCAAAACACAAAAAAACTCAACAACAACAAAAACTCAGCAATAACAATCTCTTTCTAACCTGTTTGCTGTTTTGCTTTTCTCTCCTCTTCTATTCACCTCTCCTCATCTTCCTACTGTCACTTCCTCTACCTGTTTGTGTTTATGTGTGTCTCTCTCAAGTCATATATTTATGTTTTCAACATAAATATAATTTCCAAAAGATCAAGAAAAATTGATTTCCCTACAACTTCAGGGGTAGGGAATGGGGAGAAATTTGTTTAAACGTTCTATACATTAAGACCATGTTTACTTGTCAGCCTAACTAACGGTCATCGTTAGTGATTTCCCATTCAATTTTTTTTAGGTACGTGAATGGTTAATGACATAAAACAAAATCCTTCATTAGAATAACTGAAATAACCAAGGTGACTGTGCCAGTCCAGATATTTTAATCATAAGCATCTGGCCAATGCACTTTATGAAATTATCTTTTAAAAAGTAAAAAGAAAACCACTCCAGCCTACCTTTACAGTTATATTTCACATTATAAGCCTTTCATTACTCTTGTAGTTCAGTCCTTCAGTTGTGTCCAACTCTTCATGACTTCATGGACTATAACATGCCAGTACTGTTCATGGGGTTTTCTTGGCAAAAATACTGGGGTGGTTTGCCATTTCCCTCTCCGGTGGAGTAAAGAAAACAGTTTAAGTGAGTTGTGCAGGGTCACAAAGCCAGTAAGTGTCTGAGGCTGGATTTGAACTCAGGTCTTCCTGACTCCAAGTCCAGCATTCTGCACTATGGCGCCATCTAGCTGCCTCCATTAGTTACATTCCAGCAAAACTGGATAATTCTTCCATCTCTTTGTCTTTCTGTATCCTTCTGCCTCTCTGTTTTTGCCCAATTCCATGCAAGCTTCCTAGAATAAGTTCCCTTAAATTGTAAGCAGATATGTTGAAATTCCTCCCTTCCTTTGAGGTATAGCACAGTTGCCACCTCCTCTAAGATGACTTCTTTGATGAGTCGCAGCTGAGAACGGTCTCCCTTTGAGAATTTTACTAAAGCACTCTGCCTCAATCTCTTATTTTCCCTTATCACAGCTCATCCTTACGTTTGCAGTTGCAAGCTTCAACCTACTGCGCTATCAGCTCCCTACTGTGCCATTTTTTTTCATATTGGCATCTCTTGCCCTAATGCAGGTGCCTTTCACGTAAGTAGGTACTTAGTAAAAGTTTGATAAAATAAATGAATTAGAGCTGAAATGAAACCACCCCTTTGGGCTGTTGTCCAAATACAATCAAGCAATGGTAATGCCTCCATTCTTGCTGTCTGTCTTCTGTGGTAAGGCAGCTGGTCTAGGAGGTAGGAGTCTTTTAGCTGTAGTCATGTCTTTGTCCCCTGGAGACCCCAGCAAACTTCTAAGGATCCAGGTGAATTTTAGCTTGAGCCCTATGCCTGAAGTACGAGGAGGAAAGTTGTGCTTGGGTGGGATTGTGGAGATGTATTCACCTGAATGTAATTAAACAAACATTTATTAAACTCTTACTCTGAGCAGTAGCTTTGTGCAAAGGGTTAGATCTGAATCTCAGAAGTCAGTTTAAGGCCTTCTTGGTGTGTAAGCTGGGGGTTATCAATCAACAAGCACTTATTTATATTAATAATTAATGTCAATGTAAAAATAGTAATAATATTATTCTTAATAATTTACTATGTTTCAGACACACTGCTGAAATTCTAGAGTTAAAAGAAATGTAAAAACAATCTCTGCCCTCAGGGAGCTTACATTCTGATGGGAGAGACAACTGTAAAAAATAATAGGTCCACAGGTAAAAAGAAGGCAATCTTAGCAGGGAAGGCCACTTCCTGGGAGTACTGAGAAAGGTCTCCCATGGAAAGCAACACTTAAACTGAGTCTTAAAGGAAACCAGGAATTCTGAGATTTGGAATTGAGCAGGAAGAGAATTCCAAGCACAGGGGACAGCCAAGCAAGACATGGAGACGGGTGACAGAGGGTGGTGTGTGAGGAACCAAGTAAGCCGATGTAGCTGCATCGTAGAATACTGCTTGGGGAATAAAGTGTAAAAAGAGCGAAAAGGTGGAAAGTGGTCGCGTTACAAAGAGCTTTAGATGCCAGACTGAAGGCTTTATATTTGATCCTGGCAATAATGGGGATTTGCTGGAATTTATTGAGGTGGGGCAGTGGGATGCATAGACCTACACTTTAGGAAAATCACTTTGGCACTGGAATGCAGAGACCTGCTTATTTAAAAACTCGCTTTGTTTGAGACAATAAGCTCAAACAAGTGACGTGCAATCTTTGAAAGCTGTAGTTACTGAACACCTAACGAGGTGCTCTTGTGTGCCATGTTAGAGGCACTCAGTAAGCAGACACACACAATTCCTTCTCTCAAAGTATTAACCAGCTCTATTTTGTAAACCTCGGGAACACCTGGCACTCAGGAGACAATGGCTAAAAAGTTAACTGAAAATGATGAGCATGATGATCACTCTAGAAGCTCCAAAAGTAGCTATTCATCCAATAATCAACATTCATTTAGCACCTACTATGTTCAGAGCCCAAAGCTAGGTGCTTAGGGAGTTGCTGTTCAGTCGTTTTCAAAAGTGTCTGACTCTTTATGATTCCATTTGGGGTTTTCTTGGCAAAGATACTGGGATGGTTTGCCATTTCCTTCTCCAGCTCATTTTACAGTTGAGGAAACTGAGGCAAACAGAGTGAAATGACTTGCCACACAGAGTCACACTGCTAGTAAGTGTCCAAGGCCAGATTTGAACTCAGGAAGAAGAGTCTTCCTGACTCTAGGCCTGGCACTCTATCCACCTAACTATCCTGCAGAGGGCATATAAAGTTTAGATAAAACTCATTCCCTGCTTTCACGCAGTTTACACTCTTGGTGGAACCTAAGTTTCCCAATAGAGAATAAGCTCCTTGAGGGCAATGATAGTTTTTCCTTTTTTCTTTCTAATCCAGTGTCTAGCATAGTTCCTTGAACACAGAGGGTGCTTAAATATTGTTGGATTGGATCACAGGGGGACAAGACAATAACACTGATATATGTACAATACACAACACTACAGGATAAGTTCATGAGGGTGCTTGTGTCAAATTCAAATAGAAAGGGATCCCTGTGGGCTGTGTATTAACTTAGAAAACACAAATTAACATTATCCACGCTGCATTGCATATTGTATTTATTTTGTTAAATATTTCCTAATTACAATTAATCTGGTTCGGGCTGAACTAGTCTGCAGTTGAGAGCTAGGGGAGGACCAACAGAGAAGTCCTTGTGAAGTGTTGTCCAATACAGCTGTCATTCACCATGTATGGTCAAGTGATGCTCAGGAGGGGAAGCTATGAGGGAGCACAGAGGAGGCAAGAGGGCCCCAGTGGCATCAGCCTTTCCTGGTTCCCATGCCAGCGCAGGTGGACTTTTCATGACTCCAGAGGCAGCATCTACTGCCTCACCTCAGGTTTAAGGCATCACCTGCCTAGAACGGTCTTACCAGCAGTACTGCTTGCTTTCCCAGTCTAAACCCTAATCAAAGTAAACATGGGGAACTCTACCAGCAAAATCCTATTGGACATCCCTGGCCTCTTAAATGAGCGAATGGACTCAGGAAATAGGAAATGCATTGACAAAACCCACCAGGCTTATACAACAGGCACTGTGGTGAGAGGGTATTTGGGTTACAAATGACAGTTGCTGGATACTAAGAGAGTTGATATCATTATATAGTTTACTGATATTCAGGTAGAGTGACTAAGGCTCAGTGGCATCCCATCATCGTAAAGCCAAGGTAGGGAATCACTCAGTTTTAAAATTATTAAAATCTTTCTCCATCATCCCTTACCCTCATTCCCCTTTTGGTATATTATCCCCCTGCCCTTGAACCCTAGCACCCCATTCCACTTAATCAAAACTCATTAAAGTCAAGAAACACATTTTATTGACTTTGATGTCTCCCTAACATAGGCTTCTATTGACAGAAATTACTTAATAAATGTGTTTGGAATCAATTTTATCTAGATCCTTTAGCCACCTTTATCTTCTAAAAGGGAAAGAGCGGTTCTTTCCAATTTGGAGCCTGGGTTTTTTCCTCTAGCTCATGGGTCCTTTACTTTTGTTGTGTTAGGGACCTCTTTGGCATAGATTTTTGGTGAAGTCTATAGATTCCTCAGAATAATGTTTTTAAATGTTTAAATAATGTTTTTTGATAAAATATACAGGATTTTAAAAAGGAACCCATTATACTGACACATAGTTACCAAAATATTTTTTGAAACTAGTCCAGGGGCAGCTAGGTGGTGCAGCGGATAGAGCGCCGGCCCTGGAGTCAGGAGGACCTGAGTTCAAATCCAGCCTCAGACACATAACACTTACTAGCTGTGTGACCCTGGGCAAGTCACTTAACCCCATTGTGTCACCCAAAAAAGAAGAACTAGTTCACAGCTGCCAGGTTAAGAACCCTTGTTTTCAGCTTCTATTAGAAATAAAGTAACATCGGGGAGACAGGCTGATGGAAAGAGCAGTGTCTGGGAACCGGGCCACCTAGAAATTGCCCCAAACTAGTTATGGGACCTTGAGCCTCTTCATCGGCAAAAGGAGAACTGGACCGGCTTCCCTTGTAGTTAGATAATAACTACTCGGTAAGCGTTTACCACGCGCCAGGCACTGTGCGAAGCACCAGGGATACAGGAGAGGCAAAAACATGGCTCCTGTTCTGAAGGAGCTCATGTTCCAGCTCTCAGCTTGTAACGATTCTATGATTACAAACACGGGGTGAACTTACCGGTCAATGGCAATGACGCCCAGGGTGAGCATGCTGGCAGAGCTGATCAGCAGGTACAGCAGCGCAGAGAAGTGGCACCAGACCACCCCAAACATCCATTCCCGCCGGATGGAGCTTGTTGCTACAAATGGCAGCACCAGCACAGACAGCAAGAAGTTTGACAGGGTCAGGCTGAAGACAAACTTGTTACTGAGTGTCAGGAGATAGGACTTCTTGTACAGGGTGAATACTATCACCGAGTTACCCAGGCAGACGAAGACGGCGATGACGACGATGGCGACAGACTCCGCGACGGCGACCGCCCCGTCATCTCCCTCCGGGCCTGGGAGGGCGGCGAGCTCCTTCCCTTGACTGAGAGAGGAGTTGATGCTCATGGTCAGCATGCCACGCGGCAGAGCAGGCAGGACATGTTGGATGGCTGGAATACCAAAGGGATGATGGGAGGGGAGAGCGCAGCAGGTGGGGGGAAGGGGGGAAAGGGGGAGGAAGAGAGGGAACAGAGTGTGAGATGAAGAGGGAGAGAGGAGAGAGAGAGGGGAAAAAAAAGAGGGTGGGGAGATGGGAAAAGAAAAAGTGTGTGTGTGTGTGTGTGTGTGTGAAAGAGACAAAGAGAGAGAGAGAAGGAAGAGGAGGAGGAGAAGAGGGAGGGAGGGAGAGAAGAGAGAGGAAGGAAAGAGGGTGGGAGATGGGAAAAGAAAAAGTTGTGTGGTGTTGTGGTGTGTGTGTGTGTGTGTGAGAAAGAGAGAGAGACAGAGAGAGAGACAGAGAGAGAGAGAGAGAGAAGGAAGAGGAGGAGAAGGAAGAGGGAGGAAGGGAGAGAAGAGAGAGGAAGGAAAGAGGGTGGGGAGATGGGAAAAGAAAAAGTGTGTGTATGTGAAAGAGACAAAGAGAGAGAGAGAGAAGGAAGAGGAGGAGGAGGGAGGAAGAGAGAGAGGAAAGAGGGGGGAGATGGGAAAAGAAAAAGTGTGTGTATGTGAAAGAGACAAAGAGAGAGAGAGAGAAGGAAGAGGAGGAGGAGGGAGGGAGGGAGAGAAGAGAGAGGAAGGAAAGAGGGTGGGGAGATGGGAAAAGAAAAAGTGTGTGTGTGTGTATGTGTGTGTGTGAGAAAGAGAGAGAGACAGAGAGAGAGAGAGAGAAGGAAGAGAGGAGAAAAGAGGAGGAAGGAAGAGAAGAGAGAGGAAGGAAAGAGGTGGGGAGATGGGAAAAGAAAAAGTGTGTGTGTGTATGTGTGTGTGTGTGAGAAAGAGAGAGAGACAGAGAGAGAGAGAGAGAGAGAAGAAGAGGAGGAGAAGGAAGAGGGAGGAAGGAAGAGAAGAGAGAGGAAGGAAAGAGGGTGGGGAGATGGGAAAAGAAAAAGTGTGTGTATGTGAAAGAGACAAAGAGAGAGAGAGAGAAGGAAGAGGAGGAGGAGGGAGGGAGGGAGAGAAGAGAGAGGAAGGAAAGAGGGTGGGGAGATGGGAAAAGAAAAAGAGTGTGTGTGTGTGTGTGTGTGTGTGTGTGTGTGTGTGTGTGTGTGAAAGAGAGAAAGAGAGACAGAGAGAGAGAGAAGGAAGAGGAGGAGGAGGAAGAGGGAGGGAGAGAAGAGAGAGGAAGGAAAGAGGGTGGGGAGATGGGAAAAGAAAAAAAAGTGTGTGTGTGGTGTGTGTGTGTGTGTGTGAAAGAGAGAAAGAGAGACAGAGAGAGAGAGAAGGAAGAGGAGGAGGAGGAAGAGGGAGGGAGAGAAGAGAGAGGAAGGAAAGAGGGTGGGGAGATGGGAAAAGAAAAAGAAAGTGTGTGTGTGTGTGTGTGTGTGTGTGTGTGTGAAAGAGAGAAAGAGAGACAGAGAGAGAGAAGGAAGAGGAGGAGGAGGAAGAGGGAGGGAGAGAAGAGAGAGGAAGGAAAGAGGGTGGGGAGATGGGAAAAGAAAAAGAAAGTGTGTGTGTGTGTGTGTGTGTGTGTGTGTGTGTGTGAAAGAGAGAAAGAGAGACAGAGAGAGAGAGAAGGAAGAGGAGGAGGAGGAAGAGGGAGGGAGGGAGAGAAGAGAGAGGAAGGAAAGAGGGTGGGGAGATGGGAAAAGAAAAAGACAGAGTGTGTGTGTGTTGTGTGTGTGAGAAAGAGAGAAAGAGAGAGAGACAGAGAGAGAGAGAGAGAGAGAAGGAAGAGGAGGAGAAGGAAGAGGGAGGAAGGGAGAGAAGAGAGAGGAAGGAAAGAGGGTGGGGAGATGGGAAAAGAAAAAGTGTGTGTATGTGAAAGAGACAAAGAGAGAGAGAGAGAAGGAAGAGGAGGAGGAGGGAGGGAGGGAGAGAAGAGAGAGGAAGGAAAGAGGGTGGGGAGATGGGAAAAGAAAAAGTGTGTGTGTGTGTGTGTGTGTGTGTGTGAGAAAGAGAGAGAGACAGAGAGAGAGAGAAGGAAGAGGAGGAGAAGGGAGGGAGGGAGAGAAGAGAGAGAGAGAAAAGAAGGAGAAAAAGAGGAGGGAAAGCAAATGAACACATTGGATAATGGACTCTCAGAGCTGTGATACTCCAGAGATCGTCTAATCTAATCTCCCACACAATGTGTCTTGCTCAAAAAAAGGCAGTTCTTTGCTCCCAAACCCAGAGGTCTATATTCCAGTTTCTCTAGAGTTTTTCCCCCAAGGGACCCAAAGCCAGTCTAATCCAGGAATAGGACATCCCAGTAGAAAAGGGCACTAGCCTTAGAGTCAGAGATTAAATATTTGCACTCAGTCATGTCACTGGTGTCCAAGGCCTCTAGCTCTCCTTCCTTACTAGCCTACAGAAGTACCAAGAGAGATAAAGGGAATGAAGTCTGAAATTTGATCAAGTTCTTGAGGGAAGATTCAATATAAATATTATTAGCACCAACTAACTTCCATAGACCCTTTGTCAGAGAGGGTGGGGTCATCAAATTATAAGATCAGTTTCAGTCAGTCAACAAGCATATATTAACCACCTATTGTGTGCCAGGCTCTGTGCTAAGCACTGCGGATACAAAAAGAAGTGAAAAATAGTCCCTGCTCTCAAGGAGCTCACGGTATGAGGAAAACAACATGTAAACAACGATATATAAAAATATACATACAAACATACAAATATACATGTATGTGTGTATATATACATATAAACGTGTGTGTGTGTGTGTGTGTGTATGATAAACTAGAGGTAGTATCAAAGGGCAGCAGGTGCTCAGATTAAGGAGGATTTGGAAAAGTTGTATAAGCCTTGAAGGAAGCCAGAAGGCAAAGCACAGGAGGGAAAAGATAGCCAGTTAAAATGTATAAAGTCAGGAGATGGATTGTCTTTTGTGAGGAAAAGCAAAGAGACCAGTGTCCCCATGCTGCAGAGTGCACAGAGAGGAGTAAGGTATAAAGAAACTGGGAGGGCAGGAAGGGACCAAGTTATGAAGGGCTTTCAAAGCCAAACAAAGATTTTATATTTGACCTTGGAAATAAGGGAGTCACTGGAGCTTTACAAATGGGCAAACTCTTTCCTGACTAGTCAGTATGGGGCCTGGGGTCTTATTTCTCATAAGATGCAGTCCCTACCACATAAAATGGAAAGAACACCACCAACAAAGCAATCCCAGTTGGATGCTTGGCCCCAAAGAAGAGATACGAGAAGATGCCTCCTCAATTTCTTTGCAAAGATGGGGGACAGTGGGCATGGAACTGCATTCAGTGTCACACTTTTTTGATATGTGGATTAGTTTTGCCGAGTTTTTTTTTTCTTCTTTGATGTAAGACATGGTTTTATGGGGGAGGGGATAATTGGAAAACGTAAGTGATATAAAAACTAAAAATATCAATGAAATTTTATTTCTTAAAAGATGAAGTTTGGGGCAGCTAGGTGGCGCAGTGGATAGAGCACCGGCCCTGAAGTCAGGAGGACCTGAGTTCAAATCCGGCCTCAGACCCAACACTTGATCCTTACTAGCTGTGTGACCTTGGGCAAGTCACTTAACCCCAATTGCCCAAAAAAAAAAAAAAGATGAAGTTTCTACCAACTGAGGTCAGTCCAGTTCAATAATGATAACTATTATTATTATTATTATTATTATTATTTTAGCTTTTCTACAGCAGTTTAAGGTTTGTGAAACAGCTTACACAAACTCTTTCATTTAATCCTGACAACAATCTTGTAAGCTAGGTGCTATTACTTTCTCCATTTTTGCAGATGAGGATTTTGAGTCTGAAAGAGCTTAAGTGATTTGCTCAGAGTCGCCAACGTGGGAAATATCTGGGGCAGGATTTGAACTCAGGGCTTTGTATTTCCAAGTCCAACACGGTCTCCACTATGTTAATGTAGCTGCCTTGGCCAGATCTCAAAGTTCTTGACATGAAAGTTTTGTAAAAATACAAAAGCTAAAACAAAAAAACTCTAATGAATAGACCACATCACCCACCTAAAAGAACACAGAGGTCCCATATGCTCCTACTCAATACCACAAATAAATATCATCAAGAAAGAATAGAACTAACTGCTTTTGTGAAACGACCCATAAAGAATCTTAAAAGTTGATAGAGGTCACAAAGGGGATCTTGTCTAACTCCCCCCTGGAAATGTTTTTACACCATCCCTAAGAAATGCCCATTCAACCTCTGTTTGAACATATACAGTGATGGGGAAACTCACTACCTCACAAAGTGGCTCACTCCATTTGGGAGAACTTGTGATTGTTAGAAAGTTCTTCCCTGTAATGAGTCAAAATCTGTCTTCTGCCCCTTAACTTCTACGCACTGGTCCATGAGCTGCCTTCCAGTAGAATACCATATATGGCAAATTCTTCTTTCACATGACAACCCTTCAAATATCTGAAGTCACTTCATCTTACTGTGCCTCAGTTTCTTTATCTGTAAAATGAGATAATAATAGCACCTACTTGACAAGATTGTTGTAAGAATCAAATGAGATAAATCATGTAAGGTGCTTTGCAAACCTTAATGCATCATATAAATGTTGGCTGTTATCATTATCATACCCACTCCTAACCTTTTTTTATTTAGGTAAAAATTCCAAATTCTTTCACTTGATTCTTATGACAGTTTTCAGATCTCTAACCATTTTATTTGACCTCTTTTAAATGAACTCTATATGGCCAATGTCTCTCTTAAAAATCTGGTGTCCAGAACTAAACACGGTACTATTCTCTGTGGAGTCTGTGGGACTATTATAATGGGACTATTCCCTCTCTTAATTCAGCACTATATTATATTAAACCAACCTAACATGACAAATTAATAGTGTCAGGAAGACCACAAACCACATTCTGACCCTGGGTAAGTCACTAAAGCCCTATGTGCCTCTGGTTACTCGGTGGAACTTATCTGAGCTATAGACTAGCACCTGGGTTGGTATAGCAATGCTATACTGGCTTCCCATTACACCTCCACGCATTAACACTCGTTTTTTTTCAGCTGTAATATCATGTTGTTGACTTATA